CGATGCACTGATGCAATGCCGATGGTGGACATACCCGTTATTGAGCTTGTGACATGGTCGTTTGACCCCTGTCCCGCTTGTGGACTCGTGACGTCATTGTGATTGACTTTTCAATTGAAATTCTCCCGACTTGTTATGGTCTCATGATCCCTCCATTAAAGTTTATATGTACCTTTGACATTGTTATCGTACTTATCAACTGGGATAATATTTTGACAATGCACAGTTTCTTTATGTGGCTAGTATATTTATCAACATTCGTTAGATGTTTCACAAATGAAAATGAACACAATTTTAATAGTTTGAATTTCAAAATATTTTATTTGGGTGCAGAAGAATACATCATATTGATCAAGAATCTATCCCTCATTTTGACAATAATTATTATGGCATGGAATTCATGCAAAAAATACTCTTTTATGTTAACTTATATGTAAAAAGGTCAACATAAAAAGGAAGAATGAACACATCATCATTTTTGATAGTCTTCACACTAAAAAATATACATCATGAGTTCTTATCTCATTCAGTATACCTGGTATCCAGGAAATTAGTGGAGATTACTGAGAATCACAAAATATACATAGAACAAATCCGTCTCCCTTAAAATATTTAGAACAAATACCTAACCCGTACTCCTTTGCAGGTTGTTGCAGATCCATATGAACAACTAACAGTAAGAAATTTATCAGTTCAGTTTTAAAAGAAACTAAAACTGCTCTCCAGACAGAAGCCTTATGAACTAGATCACGGAGGTCAAAACAATTCATAAAGAACTTAAGCTGTTTCAGTTTTCTCTAAAGAAACAATTCCTCAAAAGTAATTGAGTGATCACGCTTTAACATTTCTCCAGCATGACCACAAACCCTGGTTTGTAAAGTGTTGAATATCAACAAAGAGAAAGACTCTGTAAAGTATTCGCAAGGTAAACCCTAGTTTAATTGGCCTGATTCTCAAAAGGCATTAGTTTGGAAATGTAGAATTAGCAAAGTGAAAGAAGAATGAATAGATGATGATGATGATGATGATGATGATTTGTTAAACATTTGTCTTTGCTGTAAATAGTTTAGTCAAGACCATGTCCAAGACATGAACGGGTATTTCCGTTTTCAGCTTTCAACAAAACAGATTCAATAATAACAACCAAGAAGGCAGCAATCATTTAAAACAACAAAACATTTCAACATACGACGAGGTTCATAGCATGTTTACAGTCTGTAAGGAAACACATGACAACACAAAAATGATGAATCATTCCTTTAATGTGTTGAAAGCAGCATGTACAACAAAAAGAATGGTCACAATCACTCAAAATACTTACAATGTAAAAACTCCTTTCCAGCCATTGGACATACAAATTTTGGGATTGTTCAAAGAGAGATAAATTCACATTTAGCGAGACAGCTGCAGTTGTCCTCCTTTGAGTACACCCACTTGTTTTAGCAACCAGAATCTTCACTAAAAGACCAAAGTAAAAAAGAAGAGGGTGCACTGGAGTTTGTAAAGTATTTCAGACATACCATATCAGATTCCAGCAGACATGGTGTTGGTAAATCAAGGATCATAATTAAGGAGATCCACAGAGTAAAACAAAGATACAGCAGATGCACCTGTGCAGTGCTTTATATCACTCAGTACAGTGATGAGCGTATACAGAAATGCATGATCTGCTTGGACCATAACACCATGATTATCATAATTTGAAATAACATATTTATGTTACAAATTTATATGTACAAATATCCAGTCTGGCAGAAGAACAGAGGCATGAATAAAGAGATCATACATATCTTCCTACAGTTATTTGCCTCATTAGTCTCACATTACATAAATTATTCCACTTCCCTATTCAGTAATTTCAGAATTCTGTGAGATGTGAGCAGGCGTTGTGTCAACAGCAAGCTTGAGTTGTTAATCCATCTAATTATGTTTTCATTTGCTCATTTAATTTGCATTCTTACGGCAAGTTATCTGAGTATTTTTGAGAAACCGAGGTTGGCAAGTCTTGGTATTGGAGTGACTTTCGACATTGGTGACGTTGATACCTGGATTCTGAGGCGACTGAGCTTGTTATCCCAGTTTTTGTTTTGACCGAGTGCCAAAGGTCGTGGTCAGCCAAAATGACGCTGTCATCGAGTGTGACCAAAGAACAGGTCAATGGTCAAACTGCCATTCTCCTTTTGGAGATTATGAACACTTTGATAAATGTAGTTATGTCAAAACAAGGTGTTGATCCAAAAGAATTTTTGGCCAAAAGTAAAGATTCCCTTTGCTTGCTTATGGGAGTTCACACAGATATGAATGTGAAACAGAGTGAAAACTTCAAACCAGATTTACAAGGCCCATACAAGAGGTTGCGTGCCAGTAAAATAGTTACCACAACAAAGAACCTCTCAAAGAACATTAAAACATTAGTGAAACAGAATTCAGCAGGAAGTTACATGGTGACAAAGCAGCACACAAAGGAGGGTTTCAACTGCTCTGAGGAGGGGTTTTTGGCAACAGACAGTGAGGCTACACAGTGAAAGGAAGAGGTTTCCATCATGGGACCTCCAAACGGGGGAAGATCAACCCCTATGCGGGGTCCTTATAGACTGTGTTTTCTTAGGCAAAGCAGGAATCAGGCACAAGGCCCGACTTACGGAAAGAATAACTTCCTCAAGTGAATATGAACAGGTAAGCCACATTGTTCACAAAGTACTGCACAACCCTTGTTCAGCAATGCACTGCAATTACTGACCGACTGCCCACGGATACTACCAAGATCAACACACCTCCTTACCTCGAGCAACCATCCAACAGCAAGACATCCTCTATACAAAAAGCTGAGACAAGCAGTTGTCAAGTTATCAGGGAAGCAGTACTAAGTGAAGGAATTCATAACAGGCTACAGACATCATTCTGCAGTCATGGAGAGAATCCACACACAAACAGTATGGGGGCTACCTCTAAAGATGGATGCTGTTTTGCACTCAAATCCCAAATCAAATGCTGATCCCTTTTCACCTCCAATAGGATAGGGTTCGACTTATTGGTTGAACAATATAAGAGTTTTCAGCTCTGTCTAGTGTGCTAGTGTTACAAAATAGTGTAGTGTTTGGACAGCATGCAAAAGTTGAGGTTAATGAAAGGTATTTTTAATCTTTGCCACATCACAATGTTACATGGGACAGTTGTGAATTATATTAAAAGTTTGGATGTCAGTGAATCGTTGAAATTTAGTGACTTCACTGGGTTTTTTCAGGGCAGAGAATACAATCCCTTCATCTTATTGATTGTAGGAACGTGAATGTGTCAGACATTGATGTGAAAATTAGATTTGGGTATCACTAAGTTGAGCTCACCCTTAATAGCTACCCAGACCAAGAACCGTGCAGTGTGAACACTATGAATCAGTGTTTGAGAAGGACAAAGGAACTTTGTGGCGCACAGACAGCTTTGTTCATTACAACGACCAAGTCACACAGGAGAGCATCAAAAGACACTATAGCCCAATAGGTGAGGACTATCATGAGAACTGCTGGCATTGATATGATTGTGTTTGCACCACATCAGCTTCAATAAGCAGTTCATGTAGACATAGTGTGCCTCTTAAGACATTTCTGCAAACTGCAGGCTGGAAAAGTAATTGTGTGTTTGCTACATAAACTCAGTTTGGTTTGACATGTACACTAGTACTAATATGTTCTGGTAGTTGAGGTAAAAGCCATGCAAGAGTCATGTTTGACTAATACTTGAGTTGACTTTGCTATGTAACTGTACACTGGAATTGATCAGTTGTGTTTCTGCAATACACATTTAGTGTATGAATAAACATATTTTGTGAGATTACAACTTTTCTTTTGAGAGGATAATATGATTCCTTATCTACATATCTCACAGAATTACTGAATAGGGAAGTGGAACTTAAAAATTAAACAAAACTTACCTGTAAGGTGGAGTTTGATATAAATTCCACAGACCTATAGAGTACTGAGGAATCAAGCGCCCAGGAATCACATAACTGCTTTAAAGACTGATGACACAGCTGTATGCGTACATCTCACTTAATCCCCAAGTACTCCATAGGTCAGTGGAATTTATATCAAATTTCACTTTATGGGTAAGTCTGATTTAATACTTAAATTCTTTTAGCAAAAACGTACAAATATCGGACCAATCCCAAATGAATAGAGAATCAAGTATGGATTAACCTCAACACTAACCAGAAGAAATTTTCACTCAGCACCCCACAGGTGAGTTGACAAGAGGCAAAAAATAACAATACTTATCCACCAGTTCCTGATGTCCTCTTCGAGAGTGAGTTCGGTGTTAAGTTGCTTTCAGCAAAATTACTGTCATCAGAAACTTTCCACATTGTACCCATGTGGAGAATCAAACCTGTTAAGTGGACACTTTACTCAGCTATCCAACAGCTACAAGAAAATATTCCATCTCTTTAATATCCCTCACTCCCAATGCAGCTTCATATCACACTGACATGGAACAGAATGTCCCAGTGTTATGGAGACTTGTACTATGGCTCCGTACTGCCTATAGTATAAATACACCCATAACCAGTTACATATTCACCTACACTATACCCCTTGAAGGACCTTCAACAGCTTGAACTGCAGAGTAATAGCATGCTTCTTCATTATGATTATCAATAAAGTTCCAATTTACACTGCATCCATGACATGAAAGTCACCAATATAAAACTCACCAATCCCAACCGTCATTCTTGCTGCTATTAGTCTGTTTCTGCTGGGTAATGTTGAAAGGCATTTCTTCTGATACAAGCAGGTTTCTTCATAATGATTATCAACAATGTTTCCAATCCACACAGCATCAATGACACCAATGACACCATGTCAAACTCAAAGAGGCTACCATCTCCACAGAGATCTCCCTTGCTGATATTGGCCCTGCTGGGCAATGGCCAAAGACATCTGCTTCATGTGAAAACATATAACTTTGTAATGATGATCAGCAAACCTTCAAAGTCACACTTCATCCATGACAACAAAGTCACCCATATCAATGTCATCCATGACAACAAAGTCATCCACGTCAACATCATCCACATCAACATCATCCATGTCAAACTCACAGAGGCTACCATCTCCACTGAGAACTCCCTCACTGATGTCATCCTGTTCCCATTCAAACATATTCCCCTCATTTCCCTCGGACTTATCACCACCTTTCCTTTCATTCTTGTTACCACTGCTCATCTGGTCCTTAGTCTTTGTGTCGACAAATTCTTTCTTCAAGTAATGACTCTTTGTCTTGGAGCTGCTAGCCTTGTCTCCCTCTGATCGATTTCTCAAATTTCTGTGGTAATCTCTGTCGTCAATCTGTTTGCTACGCATATTTTGAGATTTTGTGGTACCTCCATCAGCAAAGTCCTTTCGAACTCTTTTCATTGAATCATCTTTTCTGAAATGCTCAGTGTGTTCTGGAATCTCCCGACCTCTGTTTCTTTCTTTACCACTCTGTCTCACAGATTCATCTGCACTGGAACTTTTATTATGTGCTCTGGATCCTTGTCTCTGACTTCCTCTTGTCACTGAGTTGTCTGTCTTAAAGCGGTCACGTTGATTTGAAAATCCTCTATTGCTGTCTAATCTTCTACTCTCTCTGCCCAAGCTTTGAGACCTTCCATCCTCATCCCTCCTTATGCTAACATTGCTGTTCCCGGAACTACTAACACTTGTTCTGTCATCATCTCTATACTCCAAATACTCCTCCTCAGTTTCTTCATCAATTCTCTCTTCCATTTCAACATGACCTCCTCCACCCATCACAAAACCATCATCCATCACATGATCCCCATCTTCATCCACATAGGACAGATCATACTCTTCACCTTTGTTCACATATTCATCCATGCACACTTCCACATGTTCTTCGTTTTCCACATTCCAGTCTCTGGTGTCAGGAAATTCTTCTCTTGTCCGACCACAGTTCTCTGTCCTGTGCTGATGTTTATCTCTTGATAGTCCACAGTTATCTGTTCCCTGCTGACGCTCCTTCCTTGACCGATCACCATTACCTGTCCTTAGTTGAAGGTCTTCACTTGCCCAGTCACGGTTCTCTGTCCTCTGCTGACGTTCCTTCCTTGATCGATCACTGTTATCTCTCCTCCCCTTCTTTGACTGCTCACCTTTATCTGTCCTTTGCTGAAAGGACCGACTACGGTCATCTGATTTTGCTGAAAAGCTTGCCTTTTTACTTTCTTCATCAGTTTCAGATTTCATCATCTTAACTTGTTCAAGCATTCTTTTAATGTCCTGTTTGACCCATGAAATACCCTGGCGGACTAAGTCAGCATTAACATTGGCTCTCTTAGACTCATATTTTATCATGCCAGTGGACTTGTGAAACAACTGACTTAAAACCTTTCTGTCAAGCATCCATTGTTTACCCACTCCTTTTCTTTTATTTGATGCAACTTTTGTATTTCTTTTTGTACTTCCATAGTCTGCAATCACTTTCTCAGCAACAGCTTTTGCCCTTGCTTTCATATCCTCATGTGCTTGACTCAATGTTCCTTTAACTGCAGTACTTTTTCCACCAGCTGTTTCTTCATCTGAAGATAAATCCAACATTTCCTCAGGGTCTTCATCATCACCTTCTGCTACATCACCTTCTCCTTCATCTGCTTTAAGTCTCCTTCTTACTTTGTTATTAGCATCCTCTAATCTTTCCATCATTATGTGACTCCAAAGTAGGAATTTTTGGATACTTTCAGGATGTGTACTATCAAATTTTGGAATAAATTTCTCTTCGGTTGTGAAACTACTTTTTTTCTCAGAAGTGTTTTTGTCAAGAGATGACTTTTTGCGGAGTGCACTTTTCAATGTCTTTGTCCATTCCGGTCTCAGAGCAAGAATTGACCCAGGCTGGACTGATCTCTTCAGTTCATCATTTGGTTTCTTTTTAGTTTCAATCTCCGGTTCACTTCGGGACTTTTCCTTTTCCTTCGTTTTCATATTGCCAATGTCAAAATCATGTAAATCCTGAGCATCACGTTCAGGGATGCTACTAGGATCTTTACTTGACATTACTACTGACTGAGAAGCAACAGGTGGTTGTTCCATTACAAACTCTGGTGGCTGAGCAGTTGCAGACTGTGCATTCACTTGTCCAGTCAGTGGGAGTTGTAATGGGGCACCTGCTTCAGGAGAAGTTGGTGGAACTACTGAAGGAGCAACTGAAGCAACAGGTGGTTGTTCCATTACAGGCTCTGGTGGCTTAGCAGTTGCAGACTGTGCGATCACTTGTCCAGTCAGTGGGAGTTGTAATGGGGCACCTGCTTCAGGAGAAGTTGGTGGAACTACTGAAGGAGCAACTGAAGCAACAGGTGGTTGTTCCATTACAGGCTCTGGTGGCTTAGCAGTTGCAGACTGTGCATTCACTTGTCCAGTCAGTGGGAGTTGTAATGGGGCACCTGCTTCAGGAGAAGTTGAAGGAGCACCTGAAACAACAGGTGGTTGTTCCATTACAAACACAGGTGGCTTAGCATTTGCAGACTGAGTGATCACTTGCCCAGTCAGTGAGAGTTGTAATGGGGCACCTGGTTGAGGTGGTGGAACTACTGAAGGAGTAACTGATGCAACAACTTGGGTGTGTGGGGAAGCCACTACACATGCTTGCTGTGATTGTGCACTTACTTGGGGCTGAAAAGGCACTTGAGAATAGCTTACAGGAGGAACTATGAATGACGGAGTACTCACTGCAGGCCTTGAAGCCACCACTACTGGTTGCCGAGTTGATGTACTTAAAATCCCAGGAACAGGTAGCTGTGGATATGACTGACTTCCTACAGCCGCCTGAGGGGCAGGCCTGAGCACAGGTGGAGGGAGAGGTGGAGGTGTAAGATGAGGTGGCACAGGTTTGGGAACATATGCTGTGGAGGGGTAGAAGGGTGTTACTTGCCCATGTAAATTCACAGCTTGTTGTGTGGGCACCTGGGATGCTAGAGGTGGCGGAACAGGCTGAGTAGGCTGCTGATACGGTAATATTGGCAACTGAGGCCTCGGCAAACTCTGGTCAGACTGCAATGGTGCACTCAATGAAGCTCCAGCTATTGTCTGCATAGACCTGTTTCCAGCACTTCTTGAACCACTATCTGAAATGCTTCCAAGACTAAACTTTTGAGACTCTTTAAATTTATAATCAACATTATCTGGTTCTTCTTCAGTCCTCATCTCTGTGTTTTGATGCTGAGTCTTGATATGAAACAGAAGAAAGCCTTTCTTCTTGAACGTTTTGGGGCATTTGGGGCATCTCAGGAAATTAAGTACTGATAAATGATTTTTGTCCCAGTGGTCAATTAACCCATCAACAGTGCCAGAAAATGTGCATTCTGTGCAGCTGTGGACATCTTCAGCATCTTTCTTTTGTGGAGGCTTGGTCACTTTCATGCAGGTTTCCCTGGTCACACTGCCAGGCATGACAAAGTGAATGTTGTCTCTCTCCTGTTGTCTAGCACCAAGTAGAAATCTTGACAATTCAGTCCTGTCCTCGACACCATGAAAAAAGTCCAAATGTTCACGAAGATCATCTGCATCCACACATCCCATGGTACAGAATGAACAGATGAGATAAAGAACCTTTGCTTCATGAATCTTTGTCCAGTGACGGTCAAACTGCCCTGATTCGCCTTTAAATGAACATCCAGAAACATTGCACTCGTATTCAGTTACTAATGGCACGTCTGGAACACTTTTTACTTGTGTCAAACGTGACATCAAAGGATCTGGGGTAGACTGCCTTCCTAGCTGGTTAACTTTAGGTAACCTTTGTGGCTGTGCTTCTTTAAGCAACCTTTGTGGCTGTGCATCTTCAAGCAACCTTCGTGGTTGTGCATCTTTAAGTAACCTTCGCGGTTGTGCATCTTCATGCAACCTTCGTGGTTGTGCCTCATCAAGCAACCTTCGTGGTTGTGCATCTTCACGCAACCTTCGTGGTTTTGCACCTTCACGCAACCCTCTCGGTTGTGCATCTTCATGCAACCTTCGTGGTTGTGCATCTTCATGCAACCTTCGTGGTTGTGCATCTTCACACAACCTTCGTGGTTGTGCATCTTCAAGCAACCTTCGTGGCTCTCTAGCTTCTGGTAGATTATAACCTTGATCCAGTGATTTGATACATTCAGGCAATCTTTGTTGTTGGACTGTTTCAGAGGATCTTTGCTCCCTCCATGATGGAAAGGTTTCAGATGGCAGGTTCTGAAGGAACAAATTGAAGTGTAGAAAGCTACAGTTTGCTTATAGAAAATTCTGTTTTTAGAAAGTTAGTGGATCCTATCAGCATAAACAGTGACCACACTAATGTAGAAACATTTCAAAGAGGTGAATAAAATCTTTAAAATGTGAAGAAAAGCATTTAAGGACAGACTATGTATATTTTTTGGGACAATGCCGTATGAATTGAAAAACTGATGAAAAAGTATGAAACTGTGAAGCAGACGCTTAAAAACATCTGCGCATCACGTTTTGATTCATACTTTATGAACCCAAAAGAAATACACTGTCAATCGAAGTAAGTAAATTTCACAACAAGTACATATGGTATTTATGATTGTTAATCAAAAACTATTTTAATCAAAGAAGATAAAACAATGAGATAATATACATTCAAAGCCAAGAAATACATACTATGGGGTGATATGAATCAGGTGATTGTTCAATTTTTTGTTTAATTTATGCACAGAACTTGAGATGCCCATAAGGTCGTCAGCCAATCAACAGAGAGTAGCATCAAAACAAAGTTCATAGGACCAGTCAAAGTGCAACAAATGAAACAAATAGGTCATGGAGAAGATGACTGTTTAAAATGGCATGGTCAATAACCACCAGATTCAAATATTGGTTTCCTTGAGAACGAGAAGACACAAATGTAATTTTGATATTTTATACTTATCCTGACTCATACTTATTGCTTATCTCCCTTTCCCTCCAAAGGTTGAGTGGAAATCTCAGTCCTAATGTTCCCAAGAACAGTAAAACCTTTACTCACCCCTATAGGGCCCATAGCCACATTGTCACTCTCTCCGAATTAAGCCCCACTATAGCTTACACAGAAGCCAGATATTGATGAGAGGGGGGCGGTTGGGAGGACCCTCAGCGTATGAGTCAAGAGAAGTTTAAAATATCAATTTTATCATAAAAATTACACAATTTTCCTTATCCTGACTCATACTTATTGCTTGAATCCGACAAACAGGTGGTGGGTCAGCAACCTTTTGGATTCCCTGTGACTCTTCTTGTCTGATCATATACCCCCTGGAACTCTTCTATGTACTCTCCATGTAGAGCTAAAGCGATGCTAGTACTCTAACTTCATGACGGTTGGTAACTCTAAGTGGATCTAATCCTGCTGCTTTATATGCTAGCAAGATGACTGCTCTTATCCAAAAGGAGATTGTAGTTCTGGAGACTTCTATTGATGTAGCAGTCGACAACGGGATGAAGAGATGTTTAAAAAGCCAATGCAGCTGCATTAATAGTTGTATGGTGAAGTTCAACTGAAGTTTGAGTTGATCTGCTTGTTGATGAGCCTGTATTCCATTGTCTAGATAAAAGGCACTGCATATTCCCTGGCGATGTAGTTAAGCCACTATGGGCTTGGTTACATGAGTAAATAGCCACAGGGGTGAAAAAAATTCCAAAGGGGAGGACCTTCTATTCATAGTGTCTCCCTTGAAATAGGAATCTGAGATATTTCCTTGAGGTCAGGTGTATAGGAATGTGCAGATCGATACTGGCCAGAAAGTCGTTTGGCTTTATGAGATGCTTGAGTTCTAATAGATGTACCATCTTTGAACTTGTCTGGCTTCAGTAGATAATAGAGGTTGAACTTCCTCGTATAGTAGATTAATTGAAATTTCTCCTTCGGTTTTTCTTGGGTTTGAGAAAAATGGGGGAATCATATCCTGGACTTGACGTGTCCTCATTCAATATTTCTACTGCGTCCTTTACGAGGAGCATGTTAATTGCTTCCAGCAATGTTGATTGCTGATATTCCAGGTAATGAAATACCGATGGAACCCTGGTCAAAGGGGTTGTGGCTTTCAGTTGAATGTGGTAGCCGTAGTGAAGTACTTGAGTTACGTTAGTCATCCTTTAATATTTCTCAATTTTTCCAGTAATGTCTGAGACGTCCACCCATAGTTGAAGGTTCTATGGGAACGACTGGGGATGGAAGCGAACCATTCCTTCAACGTCGAGAGTAGTGTTAGGAATTCGTTAAAATCTCATAATTGATGACTGGTTCATTACAACCGATCAATCATCGAAAATAATTGGTAAGTGTCATTTATCAAAATATCCTGTTATGGTTCTTAATGTATAAAAGTGTTTTGGATTATTTAGCATATTGCATTTGCAAATTTCCTGGAGTCTTTAAGATAAATTCAATCATGACTTGAACTTGTAGTGCTTATGACATACAAATTTAATGACACAGACAAAACCAACATTGTGAAAAATATTGTCCATGCAAACAAGTGTTCCAAAATTGTTTGTGTTCGATTGTGAGAAAACAGGATCAATTGCTTGGTCATTTAGTCACTGCGACCAATCATAAATTATTTCAATTAATCGGACCACCACTAGTCGAGAGTGAGAACTGCCAGAGAAACGGCCTCTGGCAGAACGGCCTCTATTGTTGTTGTTTGAGCAACGATGGTTTAGTAGTCTGAGAATTCGTGAATTTCCTGTGACTTCCCTAGAAACTTCCCAAATAGCTCCATCAAAGATGGCGGGAATAGCCCATGACTTGAAAAGAAGGGGCATCGTATATATATCTGACCATTGACAAGAAGCAAGAAAACCTTGACGATATAACAAAGTGAGTCCAGCGGATGTAGAAGCCAAATGGTCAGAGATAATTTCCTGATCTCTCTTCTGAGCCGCTATAGCTGCTAAGAACATACGTTCTCTATCCGTCTGTGGGTTTTGTAAGGCGTGGAGCATCTCTTCGTTTGCAGCTCAAGATGGCACTAATTCAAAGAAAACTTGATGAGTTGTCTTATCTAAATGAGCCAATTTCTTGTCCATGACTTTGTAGAAGCAAGACTTTGAGTCACTCATTAAAGAGTAGTCTTCATCAAGTTCAGGTGCTCTGGCATCCATGTTGTAAAGAGGGAACTTTCAAGGATTAAAAGGCAGTGTATATTGACCCTGCAATTTTGTTGCCTTTGCGAATGCAGCGTTGAGCATATCTGCTACCTGTGAAACAGGTTTGATTGGTGGAATTGTAAGAGTATCCTCCCACTGGATAAAATATGTGTCTGCTGGCGATAAGTTTCGCACAGGAGACGTGATAGGTAAGCCATCCACAATCCAGGCTAATAATTCAGAGTCTTTACATATAGATGAATTAGGATCATCCTGCGTACTATCCTCCGATATTTGAGGTTCCTCCCTGACAGTATCATCAGTACTAGATGGAATCGGTGCAGATTGATGAATAGGTCAACCCAAATCTGGTGTAGAATGTTGCTGTTGCCAACATAACCTGTTGAGTGACCTTTGCGACAAAGTCCAGTTGAGCCACAGCGAAAGGCTGTTGATTTATCCCAGAAACGGATATGCGAACTGGTTCGCAAAGCCTGGTAGAGGCGAATCCACGAAGGCAGTAAACGATGGATGTAGGATGCAGGTGAGTTCACGAAGGTAGGAGGATTCTCGAAGGTAGGACGATATCCGCGTATGTTCGGGAATGATATAACTATATTTGTAGCTGAATTCACCGAAGTGTGAGCACCTGGAAACATCCTAGTAGAGGAGGAGCATTCACGAATGCTGAGTGATATAGCGCCGGTGAGTTTGGGAACCCTGACGTCTGCAAAGGTCCTGTGTAGGTGGAAGGTAGGGAACCTGGGTTCCTGAATGTGGATATTGTAGTTTGCAGTTGTTGTTCCGTTCCTGACCCAGGTGCTTTCTCGAAAGTAGATGTCCGCGACGTCGATCTCACAGTGACCACTGGTTCGAGAACTGGAGGGTGTGAGAAGAATAGGCCATCAACTTCGTCAGCAGGCATCGAGACCTTCGTGAAGGTCTGAGTATCATCAACAGAAGTTGTAGATTTTGACGTTGATTTTGATGACTTCGAGGACGATTTCTTATGTGACGTCTTCATCAATTTTGGCAGCCTCTGCAAATCAGACCCCGTCTCAGGAGTTTTCCTCTTAAGACGGGACTGCGATACTACCTCCTTGTGAGAGGCAGAAACTGATAAAATCCACTGTGAGGAAATCCAGTGGTGAAACTCAGGTTCTGCAGGCTGTGTCTGACCCTTGTCACACTTTGTCTTGTCCATCGTCTTATGAAAACAAGACAAAAGATATTTATTGGAAAAATAATCTGACAATTGTGCCAAAGGATACAAACATAATCTGACAAAGGGTGCCTATAAGGATAGTAAAACTGTTCTTGGGAATATTAGGACAGGGGTTTCCACTTAAAACTCGGAGGGAAAGGGAGATAAGCAATAAGTTTGAGTCAGGATAAGGAAAATATGCTATTTAGAAATGAAACTTGAAGAAATGTAATTTGTGTTACCCAGGCAAGGGAAAAAAGTGAGCAAACCTACAGGCTCTGCACACATATCGGTTCCCTACTTCTTGGCTTCCGGCCGAGAAGGGTGGTATGGACAATCTTGAATGCGAATGAATACCGTATAAAAATTCCTGAGGATGATATTGGAAAGCAGAAAGGAATTCCCAGGAGTGTTAATGGGATTCCCCTTCATTAACTAATGATAAAGTAGTCTGCTTTGGTGGGCATGGCTTAATTTTTCACATTCATTGGGCGGAAAAAATTTCAAAAACATGATTAGTTCAGCTAATCACAATCTGTCAAGTAGTGCACAGATGACACAAGGTCAGTGTGACATCTCTCTAAGATGTTGCCTCTCTCATCTTCACAAAACAACAGTGTTAGGTCTTTCCAAGATTCTGCCTCTCTCTTCTCTCACACTTCCAACATGATATTTCTCGGAGATGCTACCTCTTTCTTTTCTCACAAAACAACAGTGTGATGTCTCTCCAAGATTCTGCCTCTCTCTCTTCTCTCACACTTCCAATATGATATTTCTCGGAGATGCTACCTCTTTCTTTTCTCACAAAACAACAGTGTGATGTCTCTCCAAGATGCTGCCTCTCTCTTCTCTCACACTTCCAATATGATATTTCTCGGAGATGCTACCTCTTTCTTTTCTCACAAAACAACAGTGTGATGTCTCTCCAAGATGCTGCCTCTCTCTCTTCTCTCACACTTCCAATATGATATTTCTCGGAGATGCTACCTCTTTCTTTTCTCACAAAACAACAGTGTGATGTCTCTCCAAGATGCTGCCTCTCTCTTCTCTCACATTTACAATATGACATTTCTCAGAAAACAACAGTGTGATGTCTCTCCAAGATGCTGCCTCTCTCTTCTCTCACACTTCCAATATGATATTTCTTAGAGATGCTACCTCTTTCTTCTCTCACAAAACAACAGTGATGTCTCTCCAAGATGCTGCCTCTCTCTCTTTCTCTCTTGACTCTCACACCTCTTTCTTCTTTCACAACATGACAGTGTGATTCTCAGAGATGCTCTCTCTCTTCTCTCACATTTCAATATGACATTTCTCTCACAACACAACAGTGTGATGTCTCTCCAAGATGCTGCCTCTCTCTTCTCTCACATTTACAATATGACATTTCTCAGAACACAACAGTGTGATGTCTCTTCAAGATGCTGCCTCTCTCTCTTCTCTCACATTTTCAATATGACATTTCTCAGAGATGCTACCTCTTTCTTCTCTCACAACACAACAGCGTGATGTCTCTCTGAGATGCTGCCTCCCTTTTCTCTCACAACACAACAGTCTGATGTCTCTCTGAGATGCTACCGCCCTCTTCTCTCAAAACAAAACAGTGTGATGTCTCTCTAAGATGCTACCTTCATTTTGTCTGACAACATGATTGTCTCTCCTCTCACATGGCCAGAGTGATATGAAAGCAGAATTTCTTTCTGTCTCTGGACAAATGTGATGTCTTCCAAAGATGCTACCTCTACCTTTTAAAACAAAAAGGCACCAGTGTGATGTTTCAACAGAATACTACCTCTCTCTTCTCTCTTGAGGCCCAAGTGTGATGGTATCTCATTTTCTCTTACAAGAGAACTGTCATGCCGGCATCATATACTTTGACAAGAGGCTTGGTGTAGAGGACTGTGGTCCCTGCATCACATATCCTGACAGGAGGCTTGGTGTAGAGGACTGTGGTACCTGCATCACATATCCTGACAGGAGGCTTGGTGTAGAGGACTGTGGTGACTGCCTGCATCACATATCCTGACAGGAGAAGGACTTGCATCACATATCCTGACAGGAGGCTTGGTGTAGAGGACTGTGGTACCTGCATCACATATCCTGACAGGAGGCTTGGTGTAGAGGACTGTGGTACCTGCATCACATATCCTGACAGGAGGCTTGGTGTAGAGGACTGTGGTGCCTGCATCACATATCCTGACAGGACTTGGTGTAGAGGAGGCTTGCATCACATATCCTGACAGGAGGACTAGAGGACTGTGGTACCTGCATCACATATCCTGACAGGAGGCTGGTGGTGTAGAGGACTGTGGTGGTCCCTGCATCACATGACCATATCCTGCATAGAGGACTGTGGTACCTGCATCACATATCCTGACAGGAGGCTTGGTGTAGAGGACTGTGGTACCTGCATCACATATCCTGACAGGAGGCTTGGTGTAGAGGGACTGTGGTACCTGCATCACATATCCTGACAGGAGGCTTGGTGTAGAGGACTGTGGTGCATCCTGCATCACATCACATCCTGACAGGAGGCTTGGTGTAGAGGACTGTGGTACCTGCATCACATATCCTGACAGGAGGCTTGGTGTAGAGGACTGTGGTAGGCTGCATCACATATCCTGACAGGAGGCTTGGTGAAGAGGACTGTGGTCCCTGCATCACATATCCTGACAGGAGGCTTGAGGACTGTGGTGCATCACATATCCTGACATATCCTGACACAGGAGGCTTGGTAGAGGACTGTGGTACCTGCATCACATATCCTGACAGGAGGCTTGGTGTAGGACTGTGGTGGTATCTGCTGCATCCTGACACATATCCTGACAGGAGGCTGTGGGACCTGCATCACACATATCCTGACAGAAGGCTTGGTGTAGAGGACTGTGGTCCCTGCATCACATATCCTGACAGGAGGCTTGGTGTAGATCCTGACAGGAGGGACTGTGACAGGAGGCTTGGTGTAGACCTGCATCACATATCCTGACAGGAGGCTTGGTGTAGAGGACTGTGTGAGGACCCTGCATCACATATCCTGACAGGAGGCTTGGTGTAGAGGACTGTGGTCCCTGCATCACATCCTGACATATCCTGCATCACATATCCTGACAGGAGGCTTGGTATAGAGAGGACATAGTGGTACCCTGCATCACACTGTATCCTGACAGATATCCTGACAGGAGGCTTGGTGTAGAGGACTGTGGTCCCTGCAACCATATCCTGACAGGAGGCTTGGTGTAGACCATTCAGATATCCTGACAGGACATACCCTGACAGGAGGCTTCCTGAAGAGGAGGCTTGGTGTAGGATCTATTGTTCAACAGATCACTCTTCCCCATACGTTCCCTTAACTCAAGAGGCTTAGCATTGGGGACAACATTCACCTGATCACATAGCTCCATATGTTCCTTACCTTAAGAAGCTTGGTGTATGGGACAACCTTAACCATATCACATACACCATATGTTCCTTACCTTTAGAGACTTGGCGAAGGTGACTTCTACCTCCTCACCATCAATAACATGTTGCTTGGCTGATACTGCTTTCTCTGCATCACCTTGTTTTTCAAATATTACATATGCACAACCAGTTGGTCTGAAAAGAGGGTGAGTGCATTAAGCTTTTGGACCAGACTAGTGATTAATATTATGAACAAAGATCATCACTTTTGCCTACGATCAACCAGAATCCTACCATCGGATTCATTAGGCCATGTGCAACAAGATCAGGTTGCAAGGAATCAATTCTAACATGGAATATTATTGCCACACTCAGCAATATTCCAGCTATATGACAGCAGTTAGTAAATAACAATGATGGGATTCGACAATCCTTGCACCATCAGCATCAACCTACACAGATGAGGTTTAAGTTGGCATGCATCAACACATTAAGTGAGCATGACCATGTGATTCGCCTCTTCACAAATTAAACCATCGACTATGGGAAGCTGATGACAAGATCACAATTAATACAATCTGGGATTTAAATCCAGCAGATGCTGGCAGGAGTAAGGGGCACAACTAACCTCAATTTCACATCCCTCGCCAGCTCAATGTCCTCGACTTCTCCCCATTTGGAGAAGTACCACAACAGCTTGTAATCGTGGGTGTGCACTGCCAACCCTGATACACTCAACTTCCTATTGGGAGGAACCTAGATGTGAATTGATAGAAATAATCACCATCATACATTGATACATAGTTGAAAGCATCAATGATAACTTTGTCTTTATACTCACTCTGTGGTCGGAGTAAGTTTTGCCTAGTTTTAGTGTGTAGAATGGAAATTTCTCGAGCTACATTCCCGAGACCATGCGGTTTTCTAAATGATATATGCATCTCATGAGTAGGAGAGTTCCCAACGATAACACTGAAGAATTGAATGATACGTAAAATCGCAATCTGAGAAAATTAAATAAAATGTTGCTATGTGTAACAAAACAGTGGTCCCTGTATCACATATCCTGACTGGAGATTTGGTGTAGTGGACTGTGGACAGAACGCTTGGTGAAGAAGACTGTTGTACATAGGCAAATCCAGGAATTTTCAGGATGGGCATGTGTGTGTTTGTACCATGGTGTTCGAAACCCCACCCCTCACCCCCAATGCAAAAAACAATAACTTCAATGCAGTCTTTAGTCATGTCCAGGGTGTGTGTGTGTTTTGTTGAATCCCTTGAACCCCCCTTGTATCCACCAATGCTTGGTGTAGAGGACTGTGGAAACAAGGATTCGTGTAGAAGACTGTGGTACCTGCATCACATATCCTGACAGGGTTCATGGCATAGAGGACTTTGGTCCTTCAATTACATATCCTGACAGGAGGCCTACCATGTTCACTATATCACAAACCCTCATTGGGAGGCTTGGTGTGGGATATATTGTTCACCATATCTCATGTTCCTTTAACTGAAGAGGCTTGGCATTGGGGACAACATTCACCAGGTCACATACCCTCAATTAGCAAAAGAGGCTAATCTCAAGAGGCTTGGTGTAAGGGACAACCTTCACCAGATCACATAGCTCCATATGTGCCTTACCTTAAGAGGCTTGGTGTAGGGACAATATTCACAAGATCACATACCCCTATACATTCCTTACCTCATGATGCTTGGCGTAGGTGACTTCGACCTCCTTATCATCAATAACATGTGGCTTGTCTGATACTGCTTTCTCTGCATCACCAAGTTTTTCAAATATCACAAATGCACAGCCAGTTGGTCTGAAAAGAGAGAGAGAGCATTCAGCTTTTGGACCAGTCTAGAGATTCATGTTATGAAGAATGATCATCACTTTTGCTTACGATCATCCAGAACCCTACCATCGGATTCATTTGGCCATGTGCAACAAGATCAGGTTGCAAGGAATTAATTCTAACTTGGAATATTATTTCCACACTCAGCAATATTCCAGCTCTATGACAGCAGTTAGTAAATAACCAAGATGGGATTCGACAATCCTTGCACCATCAGCATCAACCTACACAGATGAGGTTTAAGCTAGCACGCATCATCCAAGTAAGTGAGCATGACCATGTGAGTCGCCTCTTTAGCGATTTACCACATTGCAGTCGTCCCATCGACCATCGGAAGGTCATAGGCGGATCCAGGAATTTTCATGTGTGTGCGTGCATGCATGCATGCATGTGTGTGTGTATTTAGAACCTCCTCAACCCCCCTGTGGCTCTGCCAATACAAATCATTAACTTCAATAAGGTTTATAGTTATTTTCAAAGGGGGGGATCCTTCGATCCGCCAGTGAGGCTGATAACAAGGTCACAATTAATACAATCTGGGATCTAAACCCAGCAGATACTGGCAGGACAATGGGACAAAACTAACCTCAATCTCACATCCTTCAAGACCTCAAAATCCTCCACTTTTCCCCATCTGGAGAAGTAGCCCTTTAGCTTGTAACCCCGGGTTTGAGCTGCCAACCCTGATATACTCAGCTTCCTATTGGAAGGATCAGCACTTTGGGGAACCTAGATGTGAAAGAGTGAATTGATTGAAATGATTACAGTATATCTTTAATATCCATGTGAGTCAAATCGAAGTCATCCTGGTAGCCATTGGACATAAGTGAGTATGGCTTTACGCTGCTTTTAGCAACAAAAAGCGGGAATATAATCCCAGACTCCAGAAATTTATTCATGTCTGGAATCGAACCCAGGCCATTAGCGTGATGAGTGAACACTTTAACCACAAAGCCAGCCACCTTCCCTGAACTTCACTTGTCTGACGGAAATAATGCTACTGAATAACATTACAACATTTAATACTGTTATGGAGACATTTACAGCTGATGCTTTCTTTTGAGAAGCCACTGCTGGAAACAATAGTATTAAAAAACATTATATCAAATATAAAAAGAATATGCAGATTTACAAGCGTTGACCAATCGGAGGGATTGCTTTGACCACACCCCTGTTTTGTGAGGACCTATCATCATCCATTTGTGACCAGTTAAGGGTGAAAATATCCTTCCAATCGATTTGCAGATATAACAATAAAGAATTGCAAGGTGTTATGAGTGGTGATTGGTAAACATATGTTCCATGATTATGTTTACAGTAAGTTTTAATCGATTGCATGAGATGGCAGCATAGAGATTGTCTAAGTAGGCAGGTGGGTTACATCAAGTGTCCGTCCTTGTCATGATTTATTGTACTGTGAAGGATTTCCAGAATCATCTCAATTACCTATTTTTCAATCTTAAATCCTCGCAAAGACACGAGGGCCTGTGAGTCAGGCAATAAAATCTACACAACTGAGTTGATAATCAGATCCAGATAATCAGAGGACATAACTCTACACAACTGAGTTGACAATCAGATCCTGGTACTCAGGGGACATAACTCTACACAACTGAGTTGACAATCAGATCCTGGTACTCAGGGGATATAACTCTACACAACTGACTTGACAATCAGATCCAGGTACTCAGGGGATATAACTCTACACAACTGAGCTGACAATCAGATCCTGGTACTCAGGGGACATAACTCTACACAACTGAGTTGATAATCAGATCCTGGTAGATACGGGACATAACTACACACAACTGGGTTGACAATCAGATCCTGGTACTCAGGGGACATAACTCTACACAACTGAGTTGACAATCAGATCCAGGTACTCAGGGGACATAACTCTACACAACTGAGTTGACAATCAGATCCAGGTACTCAGGGGACATAACTCTTCACATCTGCATTGACAATCAGATCCAGGTACTCAGGGGACATAACTCTACACAACTGAGTTGACAATCAGATCCTGGTACTCAGGGGACAGAACTCTTCACATCTGCATTGACAATCAGATCCAGGTACTCAGGGGACATAACTCTACACAACTGAGTTGACAATCAGATCCAGGTACTCAGGGGACATAACTCTACACAACTGAGTTGACAATCAGATCCTGTACTCAGGGGACATAACTCTACACAACTGAGTTGACAATCAGATCCTGGTACTCAGGGGACATAACTCTACACAACTGAGTTGACAATCAGATCCAGGGACATCTACACAAGAGGACAATCAGATCCAGGGACTCAGGGGACATAACTCTACACAACTGAGTTGACAATCAGATCCTGGTAGACAGGGGACATAACTCTACACAAATGACTTGACAATCAGATCCTGGTAGAAAGGGGAAATAACTCTACACAACACTTGACAACTGACTTGACAATGACTTGACAACCCTCATACCCTGGTAGAAAGGGGACATAAGTCTACATAACTGACTTGACAATCAGATCCTGGTAGAAAGGGGAAATAACTCTACACAACTGACTTGACAATCATACCCTGGTAGAAAGGGGACATAAGTCTACATAACTGACTTGACAATCATATCCTGGTAGACAGGGGACATAACTCTACACAACTGAGTTGATAATCAGATCCTGGTAGTCAAGGGATATAACTCTGTACAAGATGCTGAACCACCATGATTATGTTGAATTTAACTTGAACCACACAAATAGAATTATCTGATCACTTACAATGAAATCCTGTTTAGTTTCATGATTTTGTCAAAAGAAAATGTCCAGTGGCATACAATCCTGCACACAAGTGTGTCAGTGTAGGGAATTGAACCCAGGTAATTGGTGTCATGAGCAAACACTTGAACCACTAGGTTACCCAACCACCCAATAACGAATATCATCTTTCTCTAGTCAGTTGGTTATAATATGTTTATATTAACTCAAATACGATGTGTTAAGTATTGGATTAAGTTGTTGCAAAGGAATGTAAATCGTTATCCATATCAATGTTATGCACTACTTAAATATTTAGATGAAAGTGGACAATGTACCTGGATGCCCAACATTAGAACTATCTTGTTTAGAACAGGATTCTCATTTGTGTGGATATCACAAAATGTTGGTGATGCAGATGTGTTTATACTAAGTTTAAGGAAAGATTAATTGACATGTACAAACAAACTTGGCATGATTATATTTGTAACACACTACTGTAAGCTGAAAGCAGTTTTGTTATATTTAACAACTGAATGATAAGTCTCTTCTAAGAGCAGTTTGTAAATTTAGAATATCCCTACATAATTTTAGAATTGTTACTTACAGGAGAAACAAGTGTAGAAGTAAGCACAGCTCACATACGGGACATGGAAATGACTGATATTGATTTTTATAATGTGACAAGGATCAGCAGCTCACAAGACTTTCTCCTTGACTCTACTAAACTTTATATACATGTTAGATAATAGTTTTGCCATGTACTGATTACAGTAATAATGTATGGAAACATTTTTTATTTTTTTTCGTGGAAACCTGACATACAATTGAACTTGACTGTCTCATGTTGCACACAATGAAGTGGACGTAGATGAAGATTGTTCTTTTTTAGCACATGGCATATCTGTGGGTCATGATTAACTTGTGTATTAAGTTTGGTGAACCTAGAATGTATAGTTTCGATGATATGCTGTGGCCAGGTAACCATCAAACACATTTTGGAAGTCATGTTTCCATGTAAACAACAACAAAACAAATTCTGAAAATAATTTAAAGTAGCAAAAGGCACATCAATGGGTTATGACTAACATGTGTGTGAAGTTTGGTGAACCTAGCATGTAAACTTTAAGAGATATGCTCCAGACAAAACCATCAAACACATTTGGCATGAAGTCGTATTTCCATGGAAACTGCAAAAAAACAACATTCTGAAAAAAATTATAATAGCAAAAGGCATATCCATGGGTTATGATTAACATGTGTGTGAAGTTTGGTGAACCTAGCATGTAAACTTTAAGAGATATGCTCCAGACAAAACCATCAAACACATCTGGCACGAAGTCGTATTTCCATGGAAACAGCAAAAAAACTAAATTCTGAAAAAAAATTATAATAGAAAAAGCACATCAATGGGTTATGATTAACATGTGTGTGAAGTTTGGTGAACCTAGCATGTAAACTTTAGGAGATATGCTACGGACAAAGTTTCGGGATGGAAGGACGGACAGACAGAAAGAATGAACACTATATACCCCCGTTACTTCGTAGCGGGGGTATAATAAAGACAATGGTGTAACTAGCTGTATCTGTATAAATTGTAATTTTGGAGCGATTGAAGAGAAATACCATGTTTTTATGCAATGTACAAAATATAATGAAATTCTTGAAAGTACTTGCCACAGATGAATGCCATGCCTCAATGTGAACAAAGCATGATAAAAGTATTACACTCTAAAGATTCTAATGTTATTAAATCAGTTGCTCTGTTTATGAAACATGTTTAAACATTATATTCGAAATTATCACATGGCATTGTAAAATATTGTATCTTTCAATTGTATTATAGGTCGTTCGGCCCACATTACTGAATAAATATGTCTGTCTGTCTGTCTGTCTGTCTGTCTGTCTGAATATTATTGAATGTGACCTTCGTTTTCTGTACTGTTTACAATGAATATTGAATATACAAGAAATATAGAATGACAACTTTGAACGGAATCGCAAACCTAGAATTGGTGACAAAAAAGACCAAGTGACTTACAGGATAGGCAGGTCTGGCGAGACCGACATCTCTGGCGGGACCAGCAGGTCTGGCGAGACCAACATCTCTGGCGGGACCGGCAGGTCTGGGAGGACCGGCGGGTCTGGGAGGGCCGGCGGGTCTGGGAGGGCCGGCGGGTCTGGGAGGACCGGCAGGTCTGGCGAGACCAACATCTCTGGTGGGACCAGCAGGTCTGGGAGGACTGGCTGGTCTGGCAGCTTCTGCGGCCAGAGCTTCAGATCTTTCCATAGCTGTTCACAAATCAAGAAGCATGAATGTATCTGTGTGTATTCATTGATATTGTAACATCACAGCTGTACCCATGCCACAATATACTTGTCTCACAGACAACAATACAGCAACAGTACAGCTGTAAAACAGCAACATTAAAGCATCGTCAAAGTTGTGTAACAGCAACAATATATCACAATATATTACGGTATCACAGCTGTATAACTGCCACATTACAGCAATATATTACAGCAATATCACAGCTGTATAACTGCCACATTACAGCAATATATTACAGCAATATCACAGCTGTATAACTGCCACATTACAGCAATATAGCAGTGTATGAAATAAGCCAATCAGTCCAGCCAGACATCAGGGCCGGTAACTTAAAAATGTTACCAGCCCTAAATGGATTTAACCAGACCAAATATAGTGAATTTACTCAGATGTATTGAACATCTAAAGATTTTACCGGACCATCGGACTGGCTAGCTGTAAATTTAGACCGTCCGTCAGAAATATAGACCGTCTCGGGCGGGCGGACAGGCATACACTGAATATAGTTTGGTACTACCACAGCTGGATAACTGCCACATTACTGCAATGTTACAACTGGATAACTGCCACATTACTGCAATGTTTCAACTGGATAACTGCCACATTACAGTAATGTCACAGCTGGATAACTGCCACATTACTGCAATGTTTCAAGCTGGATGCCACATTACTGGATAACTGCCACATACAGCTGGATAACTGCCACATTACTGCAATGTTTCAACTGGATAACTGCCACATTACTGCAATGTTTCAACTGGATAACTGCCACATTACTGCAATGTTTCAACTGGATAACTGCCACATTACTGCAATGTTTCAACTGGATAACTGCCACATTACAGTAATGTCACAGCTGGACAAATGAGAGTGCATAGAGATTATTAACCGAGTGTGTTTCCGTATCATTAATATCATATATTAGGAATAAAAACTGTATTATGCAAGCCTTTGGGAGTGTTTCTATTTTAATTGCGGGCAATCACTTCATCAATATCAGTTTCTGATACCGGAAGGAATCGATTCGTCGTCTGTATTGTGATCGATAGATCGAAATCCTTGTACCTTTCTTAGATGAAAACCTTTCACTCCTGACTCATAATATGTACCTTCAATTTAAACAAAGTACTCCGTTTCATGTTTTCCCAAGTCATTTACAGCAGTAACGACTCCAGAAGCTCTGTCATCAATTCTTACAGAATCACCAGTTTTGAGAATGGGGCAGCCATGTTTGTTCACAAGCTCGTCCATGCAATGTAAACTCTCGACGACATCATCAATGAAATGTTAACGTTTTCAGATTTGCATGACTTGTATGGTGTTTTGAGAAAGTAGTTCATGGATTGACGTAATTTTCATAGTTATCAGATTTGGACACCAAGTTTATCAGATTGCCTTATTGCACCGATAACACCCTCCATTTGATGATGAAGTAATTGTGTCAACAGCATGTTCTCAGTACATGTCACATCTAAATGGCCTTTCATATGACTAATCAAAACACAGCATTCCAATACAATGTTCAGAAAGCTGCTTTCTGATTGGCTAATATAAACTTCCTGTTGATCATTAAACAGACAAAGTACATGACAGGTTGGCCTGAAATTGGATATTACCGCAGCTATAGTGAGCAATAACATATTTTTGTCTAGCCCCAAATACTCAGAGATATCAACATTAAAAGAACCCCAAATATTATTCTCTTACCTTTTGTACCTTTAATACACTGAAATAAAGAGACGTAAAACGTCAAAATGGATTCAAATTTTGTCCTTTATCTTTCAAGCTGTTATTTTGTAATACGCATTTTCAATTACATCATATTTTGCTCTCAAAGAAATAAAGATTACGTTTGTTTTGCCTCTTCAAAAAGAGTCAAGAAATATTGTGATTATTGTGATTATTAATTAATGAAGACAGTGATCTGTGTGGTAATGTCAATGGAGTGAAAACCAACACAGTTAGTAAACAGTAAGGCATACACAACTGACTTGATGATCAGATCCTGGTAGACAGGGGACATAACTCTACACAACTGATTTGATGATGACTTGAAAACCAACACAATGAATAAACAATGAGGCAACTCTACACAAATGACTGAATAATAAAATGTATGTACAAAATTATCCTGACCTCCCTAAACCGAGTTGACCATCTGGTAGTCAGGTAGTCACAACTCTACACAAATGACTTGGTGATCAGATCCTGGTAGTCAGGGGACATAACTCTACACAAATGACTTGACAATCAGATCCTGGTAGTCAGGGGACATAACTCTACACAAATGACTTGACAATCAGATCCTGGTAGACAGGGGACATAACTCTACACAACTGACTTGACAATCAGATCCTGGTAGACATGGGACATAACTCTACACAACTGACTTGACAATCAGATCCTGGTAGTCAGGGGACATAACTCTAAACAACTGAGTTGACAATCAGATCCAGGTACTCAGGGTACATAACTCTACACAACTGACTTGACAATCAGATCCTTGTAGACAGGGGACATAACTCTACACAACTGACTTGATGACTTGAAAACCAACACAATGAATAAACAAGGAGGCACAATTTTGTATGTACAAAATTATTCTGACCTCCCTAAACTGAGTTGACAATCAGGTAGTCAGGTGACATAACTCTACACAAATGACTTGGTGATCAGATCCTGGTAGTCAGGGGACATAACTCTACACAAATGACTTGGTGATTAGATCCTGGTAAACAAGGCATATGGCTCTACACAACTGACTTGACAATCAGATCCTGGAAGTCAAGGGACATACCTCTACACAGCTGAGTTGACAATCAGATCCTGGTACTCAGGGGACATAACTCTACATAACTGACTTGATGACTTGAAAACCAACACAATGAATAAACCACGAGGCACAATTTTGTATGTACAAAATTATTCTGACCTCCCTAAACTGAGTTGACAATCAGGTAGTCAGGTGACATAACTCTACACAAATGACTTGGTGATCAGATCCTGGTAGACAGGGGACATAACTCTACACAAATGACTTGGTGATTAGATCCTGGTAAACAAGGCATATGGCTCTACACAACTGACTTGACAATCAGATCCTGGAAGTCAAGGGACATACCTCTACACAGCTGAGTTGACAATCAGATCCTGGTACTCAGGGGACATAACTCTACACAAATGACTTGACAATCAGATCCTGGTAGACAGGGGACATAACTCTACACAACTGACTTGACAATCAGATTCTGGTAGTCCAGGGACATAACTCTACACAACTGACTTGACAATCAGATCCTGGTAGAAAGGGGACATAACTCTACACAACTGAGTTGACAATCAGATTCTGGTAGTCAGGGGACATAACTCTACACAACTGACTTGACAATCAGATCCTGGTAGAAAGGGGACATAACTCTACACAAATGACTTGACAATCAGATCCTGGTAGTCAAGGGATATAACTCTGTACAACTTACTTGACAATCAGATCCTGGTAGAAAGGGGACATAACTCTACACAAATGACTTGACAATCAGATCCTGGTAGTCAGGGGACATAACTCTAAACAACTGACTTGACAATCAGATCCTGGTAGACAGGGGACATAACTCTACACAACTGACTTGACAATCAGATCCTGGTAGTCAGGGGACATAACTCTAAACAACTGACTTGACAATCAGATCCTGGTAGTCAGGGGACATAACTCTACACAACTGCAACTCATCATTAAGCTTTGATCACATTTACTTACCCATTTAGACAAGTCAGACCAACAAACATTCAATTTCATATTATTCAGAAAATGAACGTCATGATAGCAACGTGCAGCATCATCTTTCCTCACAAAGGCTACAAAAGCAAACAGCCGACTGAAAAGGAAGATAAGTGAATGTAAGAAAACAGAGAATACAGGCTTCCTTAGTGTACCCTGTTATAGACACAGGGAACCTAATCTCCTCATGTCCCTTTTTTGGTTAGTTGTTCAAGGCCACACTCTGCAACATTCATACTATATATGGAATCTGCACAACGATCATAAGCATTGATCTACGCATTAGACTGATCCAGTCCTAGCTGATAAGCCCCACCCACTAGCTCTCGTCTTCATTTTTTAGGTTACGGTGAACAGCCACTGACTAATCGCAATGGAGTCACCGCTGGCGAAATGTTGATGAATTCTGCTTGTGGTACTTTGGTATCTTTAGTTTGTGAATGATATTTATAGAGGAAAGTTCCATGTATTTTATTTTGAATATATTTTAGTTGTCAGATTGTATATGGTGAGTGAAAATGAAATACATGCTTGATGAAAAATCATATCCCCAGCCAGCTGCTAAGAAGGGGAAGTGTTTTTTCTTTCTCACCAATCTATCAGGCAATTCACATCCTCCTCCATCAAAGATGTCAGGAGGGTAAGGGTAAATGAATTTTGTTTTGTTTTTGTTTTTCAAACAATCCTATCGCAATTTCATAAAAACAACCACAAGTGCAAGTTGTAGATCATTTTGGTATCTATAAATAGATTGTCAACACTACCATTACTTATTTATCCATTGTTCAAATTTAGTTAAACCAATAATCTGAAAACATGGGTTTCTATCTTTTAATGAATTAAAAGAATGGTAAATATAAAGAAAACAGAAAAACATATTTCCCTTGTCTACTGCTTCGGTATATATATTAATGTAAACAAATGAACCACAACATAACTTATTTGATCTTATTTAGTAATCTGAAAATGGTGAAGGTGAAGGTGTATGTGGGCCTGCCCAGAGGCTAATATTCAGCTTCAAATCTGCAGCAATTCTCAGTAAGTTCCCCTTCTAAAGTTTTAACATCTCTACACCATCCTAAAATAATACAGATTATAAGGAAATCCCATGTTTTAAAAAATAAAATCATCCATTCCGATATATTTTTCCATGGATACTTTGTCTCGAAAGCCTAATTTAGATACATATCAGTGATCTTCAAAACTTAAAACTGGTTTGTTTTATTTTAAGCTATAATTTAATATGCACACACAGAGCTTGGACTCTCCTAGTGGAATCATCTGGTTACAACATGACAGAACTAGTCTTCAGACAAGTCATCAACATCTCCATCAAGATCTGAAAAGTCAGAGTCATAGTTGGAATCTGCATCCTTGCCAGTTGCACATTAAACATTGACTAAAATCAGAGTAAATTTGCTCAGTCATAGCAGCAGACTGACCGATGAGGGTCACGCCATTTTGGTTTGAAATTGGGGGAAACAAGAAACACGTTTTCCTATTCGTTGATTCTGTGACAACCGACCAATCACGCACTTCCTTACCAAACTCGTTTCAAGAAGCTAAGGGAGAGAACTCTGTTCTTATAGCAAACATATCTCATAGATTTCGTTTGCGATAATTTTATCTGTTTTATTATTCTAGTATACTTTGGCAGTAAATATTCAAAAAGGTTATAATATAATAATGATTATGTCATTGGTTTGCTAAAACTGACCCGACAAGAGGACGGACCAGATTTTTTTTTAACCCGTCCTCCACAAAATTCACCCGTCTCGGTCACTGGGACGGGCTATCTTTCCTACACTGAATATACAAGGGTCTTACAGTCCCGTTCACTCTTTCAAAACAGTGTGCCTATTTATTACCCTAAGGGTATTTTTATTTAGCTTATCTTTAAACAACATTCAATCATTGGCAGAATGAGAAGCAAAATGTTTCGCCATAATTTTTCCTGAACGGTCATAAAGGGAGATAACTCAGGATGGCTTAGTTTATGATAAAAATGATAGAATTTGAAGTTTTGTTAAACGAGGGTAATAAATTATTGTACGACAAACAGGTTTTAGGTTAGAGAAATTGGAAATTGCATGAAATTGGAAATTTTAACTATAAATTGTATATATATATACTTATATCTCACGTCTTGTACTCACTCTCTGCAATTCGACCTGCTGAGTTGAAAGGAACTGCAAATATAATTCCTTGGCCTCACTAAGGGTCAAAAGTGTGTTGCAATCGGCTTGCAGAAATAACAATAAAGAATTGGTAGGTGCCATGAGAGGTGATTGATAGGCCAATCATTCATGATTATGTTTACATTAAGTTTTAATTGATTGTATGTGATGGTAGCGTAGCGATCGGCAAAGCAGGCAGGTAAGGTACATCAAAGTGTCCGGCCTTGTCATAATACATGGTACTGTGAAGCATTTCGAGTCTGGGGTCATCTCAAATTTTTAATAGTTTTCTTAACATCTTTAATCCTCGCAAAGACACGAGGGCCTGTGGCCCGCCCGGGACGAGTTATTTTCAACACGGACTGCCAGATCCTCAAATTCACCTGCCTTATGGTCGGGTTAAAATTTAGACGTGTGTGAAGATATTTTGTAGACAGGTAAGTTTTGGTCAGGGCTGGCAAGTTTCATACCCTGGTAAGGCATGACCAAAACCAGAGATATCTACCTGGTGGTCGACAGTTTCTGGATAACTCTGGGTAGAAGGGCGCTGAGGCCTTTCTACAAGTTTGCCAGTACGTCTAAGTCCCATGCCATGTCGTCCGGGATGGAGGACACAAACCTCGGAAGTTGATGAATGAATCTAGTCGTGAACAGATTTATCTGTGGTCTGGAGATCGGGTAAACAATCGACCGGAATATCTCGGGAAGCAGCTTCCACTCCGTCGGAGATGGCCGGTCAGATCAGGACAGGGCGTTGGTGATGATGACGTTCTTGACTCCGGGAATCAATCTGGATACAATGCAACTGACGCAGGGATCTCCAATTTGTTGATACGACCACATACGACCATCAATTGAATGACGCGTCTACATAGAGATGAAGAGTGGGTTTGAACAGCGTCACACAAACGCCCCCGAAGAGGTTCCATTCGATGAGCCATCAACGAAGGAAGGATGTAGTGACGGCGGTAGTTGGACCAGCGCTTTTTGATCGTTGACCCTGAGGAACGGCCGCAAAAATCTCTAAAAGAGCTGACGTTGTAGCTGACATCTAAAAAGTGATGGCTTGAGCTGAGGTGAGGAGACCTAGCAACTAATGCCACTGATGCAGGCATCTCTCCTGAGATAGGAACGTTCAATTCATCAAACTACCATGATAACGTAGAAATCAGACGCAGTCGTGGTGACCTCTGATCTGAGGTCAAGGGCTGATGTAAAAATACGAGAAACCTTAACCATCATCGAAACATTCCATGACATTTCCATCTGACACCCTTGGTAAGTTGTCTCTCTCGGCTGCCTGACGAGTCCCAACACAGTCTTACCAGCAATGAGAACAATCATCGTCACTGCCAAATAAAGGATGGGATTGTTATCTGCACCAAGAAAATCTGTCAGGGCATTTTATAGTCACTCAGATCATCAAATTCCCAGGTAAACAAATAGTAGTCCGCAGGCTATTACCCACGATGCAACAGTGACAAAAAAATCTGCACAACACAGTCCTCAGTTAACCAGGCGAGTCACATCACATTAAAATCCAGGTGAGGGATGCTAATTTCTGGATGCTGGTTCCACACGTTGCATCTTGAACTTTATAACCCACGTGGTCAACGTATGGGTAGTTGCATACTAATCTCGTACGTCACACGAGTGTCGTATCGCGTTGACCTGTGTCGTAACGACTTGACCTGAGATTCTAATGATTTGATTGGATAACCGATGACCTCTCAATTAGGTCACATTCTGACGTAACTATTTTTTCATTCATAACAAACACCTGAATTCATTCATTCTACAACTTAAATGCATTGTGGGAATGTAAACATCGCGAACGTTGCCGTGTCGCTGTTTAATTGTGAGTCGAACTGAGGCATTATATCCGTCGAAAAACGTAAACGCAATGTTTCCACCCGTGATGTTAGCCGAATGTAGCAACTGCAAACCAAGAAACGGGGTGCTACGGAGTAGTTTACTGTAGGAGGCTGTACGAGGCGATGACAACTGACATGAATCGTGACGTCGGTTACCAAGGCAGTGACGTCATTACAGTGTGACGTCATGCAAATATTGTACTACAGTACAAAACTCTTCCGCAACCTCTTTATGAAACCGGTTTCGGTTTGAAACCAAAATATTAACAAAAATACACTATTTTGTCAATTTAATGTATGTAAGACGTGGGTAATAAATAAAATACCACACTCGGTCTCATTACATATGAAGTATACGAAACGAGTGACCTTCCTTTCGCGAGGTCAGATAACATAGGAAGGTCACGAGTTTCGTATAATTCGTATGTAATGAGACCTCGTGTAGTATTCTCTATATATGTCCAGGAGCTTGGCGATGATGGTTTTAGTTACAGGACTCAATGAAGCATTCATAAAATATTACTGGATTACCAGGGTATCTACTAAAGCATAAAGGTGGTTGTAGAGCTGATATCCGCGGCTAAGGGTATGTTCGTTGAACCGACTTGTTCATCAAAGGTGAGGATCGGATGGTTGTTTAGATCTGGAACGAGACAAGTCCTGACCACGAGTGAGTCTCGAAGATCCGGAATCGCCGGGACATCTTGTGTGGAGCGTAACCTTAAATGCTTAACATGGCTACGTTCACCCACCAAAAAGGGGGTACCTGGTCTTGTGACTAGTAATCTTCTAGCGCCTCACAGGTAGCTAGGGTTATCTGGAGTAAAATAATTAGCTTGTAGTGCTTGAGCATGCCACTCCTAGATGTGCAATTCAGCACATTACAAATGTCCTTAGTATATGAACATCATGTAGATAGCTGGTAAGGTTCGTCAAAAGGCCGAATCTAAATGCAAGTTCACGATCAAACCTAGATGAAGAATGGAGTGTTGTTCCTATCGGGCAGAGTGCAGTTATGTCATCATCCATGGTGGACAGATTGCCAAGATCAAATCCATAATTGTGTGCAATAGTGATGATAAACTTCGTTGAAGAGATGCCGTCTCACACTCTCTTAAGATGGTGGGAGAGCTGGCTAAGGCGCCAGGTTAGTTATCCAGCGAGCATGAGGTGCCGGGATCGAGCCAACCTGTGACCAGGTGTAAAAACCTTGGAGTCCACTTTGTGTGCAGACTCTTTCAGTGTTGTCACAACCCCTGTTTAGTACACAACCCTGTGCACTTAAAAGAACCCATGAATCCGTTGGTATATGACCAGATGGTGGCCACATGGTTCAGCAACGTGCAGTAAACTTGGACAAAGTGCTCTGACTCTGTGTCCCAGTCCACGCAGCTGTGAATGGGTACCTCGTACGGATGGGAAAGCCACAAAAATTTGGTGTGCCTAGTGGCTGCAAGAGTTGTATGCTCCCCAGGGAGTTAAGATTGACAATAACATGTGCCGTTGAGATTGACATCCAGTGATCTAGGGAAAAACTACCAGCGCCTTGAGCATGCACTAGTGCGTGGATATGTGAGCTATATAAACATCCAATAATATAACAATAAATAAATATAATAAAATTTATCTAAGTAACCCGCCAATTGGGTAAAACAGAGACGAGGAGGTAACATCAGCATCAACAAGTCCTGATCCTTCATGTAGAACGTAGTAAGTAGATCATCCAGTGTCTAGCTCTTAGATAGCTGCAGGTATGGCGAACCAAGTGAACATGTGTTGAATCTGCCATTGCCCCGAACCATAAGATCGAAGTCAAGGTGGGTTGAGAGTCTAGGGAGGCATCCCATTCACAAGCAAGGTAGGCTCTGACGAACCAATAGGCCAGGTAGCAAACTGCTGTAAGAACATCCGCATAGGTGCAGTATTGTTCGATGAACCGATCAGATTCGCCAAACCAGAGGATGATGAGGAGTAGCAACAAACGGCCTAAAATCTGTAGAAGTCGAAAGAAGGCAAGAAGTTTCACAGTTAACCGAAAAATGGGAATGATTCGCCAAATGTGAACTGTTCGGCGAATGGGATCGGTTCGCCGAATAGGAGTGATTCACAGAATGGGAATGGTTCGCCAAATGGGCGTGATTCGACGAATGGGATTGGCTTGCTGAATGGGATCTTTTTCGACGAACAGACACAGTCTGGGGAGAGTGAACGATAGGACGAATTCCTATGGCCTGACGAATAGGAGTGATCCCAAGAAAACTGATGATTCAGCACACCAGAGGTGATACGAGACAACAACAGTTGATTCGGCAAACCAGGCTGATTTGACGAATCACTCTGGTCTCCTGACAGCACGAGGTGAAATTCTGGCGAATGAGGTGGTTGCAAACCGCTGATTCGGTGAAAGTCCAGAATAAGAGGGTTCCGTGAATGGAAATGTCCAGCAACTGGGGACCCGAATCAAAGGGGGAATTCGCCGAACTGGATAACACCATAGTGGTTCAAAGGTCCTGTTCGTCGGGTGACTTCTCCCAGGCCGAAGGCTGGTCTAGCACAACCACATGGGACTTAATGGTGCGGTCCGGGGACGGGCTCCATTCAGCCCCACGTGTCGAGACAGGGTCGCAGAAAGATTGGATTCAGAGGCAACTTCTCTCTGGCATGGGAGTGAGGGAACGTTGAGCTGTCTTAGTTGGACGGGCTTTCTTGGCCTTTTGGGGGGAAGAAAGGCCATGATCATCAACATGTTACCTGGAATCCCTGTTCGCAAAGCGATGGGACCCTACCTGCACTGATCGCAGCACTGATCACAGGTGCAGAAACCAATACAATCCACACACAAAGTGTGGAGATCCGCTGCAGAAAACATAGTCTTACACTGGGCATTGAACTTTCTCTTCCTAGATGGGTTGTCAGTTTTGCCCATGAAGCAGAAGAAGAATAACGTAGAAAAACTTCTGAGATTGCAGTATATGTCCACACCAGTGTGCGACATGAAAGAGAAAAATTAAGCAGAGATGGTCACCTGAGCAGGTAGTGGTACGTGCTGCATGCTTCCCAGGAGGTTCCCCAGGCGTCCTTATAAGGGGGCAGCATGGAGTGCATGGGTGTATGGGCTAGTGAGGCCAAGGATTTATACTTGCAGTTCATTTCCACTCAGCAGGTCGAATTGAAGAAAGGGAGAGTACAAGATGTGAGATAGGATAAATTTAATAATTTACAGCTTCCACTATGATGTCAGGCCACATGATGAGAGCTATGCTTTCACCTCTCAGTGGTTTCCAGAATCTGAATTTTAAACTCATTCACACACTCCTTCAACAAAGTTGACAACTGCACTTACTTGCCACTTAGTTTAACCAAACAGCCTGACAGGTCTCCATACTTCTTGAAGTGCTCGTACAGCTCATCTTTGGTGGTCATTGCACTTAAGTTACGCACATAAACAAAACAATTCTGGACTTTCTGCAACAAGAAAAGTCATGTATACAAAACATAATGGCACATTCTAGAGCCTGATGTCAGCTTAAAAAAAAGGTTAATTTGTCCATTTTCACATAACTTATCACCCTGTAAAACCTTTGTCAAAATGTTGAAATGATCAAAGATAATTTCAGAAAGTAAAACTGAAACTACCCAAAACGGTTTTAACCTTTGAATTCAGCACAACCTTCACAAAAACATCACTAGGAACTTTTTCTGCAAAACACACTGGCTAAACAATGGCCTTGTGATGTCAGCCAGTTGCTGGGTTCATTGAGTGACGTCCTCTCTACATGCATTGTCACTGAATAAACCCAGCAATGTGGAAATTGTTCAATATTTGTTTACTGATTACAGCAGCAGAAGCACTTTAAAGAAAACACTTGTTTATGGAAGAATGTTTATTTTGAAACATTTTACTGTTTCAGTTTCAACATAATTCATGAGGCTAAAATTAAATGCAAACTAACATATACAATCTGATCTGATATTTCAGTCAAGAGGTATCCCGAAATAGTGGCAAAAGGAATTGGCATAAGTGGTGCTACAGATGCAAAGTAATGTGCCTTGAATACAGTCTGAGAGATACAGTTTGCAAATCCTTCAAAGTTAGAAATACAGTAACATAAGACATGACTTATACTGCCTAACAGAAAACTCGAGAACTAATCCAAAATGACATCAAATTTCAGCCATGTTTCTTAGTGTGACCTCACATGACTTTGACCTCATATGAAAGTCACCAAAAGGTTGTGCTGCCCGGCCCCACCCTACAGATCATATATACAGTTGAAGAACAGATGTGTATTTGACTTGAATGTGTGAAGAGACCATTGAGAACATACCTGTTCAATTGCTGACATTATGTTTGGATCTGGAAAGAAAAAGGTCACCATCTCAAACGTCTCATATTATATTTGACTCATTATAAAATACATAACGCCAGCCGCCAGGTGTATGTATCCAGGCCAGAAACACAGGAGCACCCTGTATTACCAAGGCCTGCAAGCCAGACACACAGAAGCTAGCTGTATTACAGTGCCTACAAGCCAGACACACAGGAGCTCTCTGTATCACCAAGGCCTACAAGCCAGAGAGACAGGGGTTCTCTGTAATACTATGAGCCTGCTGTATCACAGGAGCTCTCTGCATCACCATGGCCTGCAAGCCAGGAACAGGGGTTCTCTGTAATACCATGGTCTGCAAGCCAGACACAGGAGCTCTCTGTATCACCAAGATCTGCAAGCCAGGAACACAGGAGCTCTCTGTATCACCAAGCTCTGCAAGCCAGGAACACAGGAGCTCTCTGTATTACCAAGGTCTGCAAGCCAGGAACATAGGAGCTCTCTGTATCACCATGGCCTGCAAGCCAGACACACAGGAGCTCTCTGTATTACCAAGGTCTGCAAGCCAGGAACATAGGAGCTCTCTGTATCACCAAGGTCTGCAAGCTAGGAACAAAGGAGCTCTCTGTAGTGCCACATCCTGCAAGCCAGACACACAGGAGCCCTCTGTATTACCATGGTCTGCAAGCCAGGAACACAGGAGCTCTCTGTATCACCAAGGTCTGCAAGCTAGGAACACAGGAGCTCTCTGTATTGCCACATCCTGCAAGCCAGACACACAGGAGCTCTCTGTCACCATGGCCTGCAAGCCAGGAACACAGGAGCTCTCTGTATCACCAAGGTCTGCAAGGCAGACACACAGGAGCTCTCTGTATCACCAAGGTCTGCAAGCCAGGAACACAGGAGCTCTCTGTATTGCCACATCCTGCAAGCCAGACACACAGGAGCTCTCTGTCACCATGGCCTGCAAGCCAGGAACACAGGAGCTCTCTGTATCACCAAGGTCTGCAAGGCAGACACACAGGAGCTCTCTGTATCACCAAGGTCTGCAAGCCAGGAACACTGTAGCTCTCTGTATCACCAAGGTCTGCAAGCCAGGAACACAGGAGCTCTCTGTATCACCAAGGGCTGCAAGCTAGGAACACAGGAGCTCTCTGTATTGCCACATCCTGCAAGCCAGACACACAGGAGCTCTCTGTATTACCAAGGTCTGCAAGCCAGGAACACAGGAGCTCTCTGTATTACCACATCCTGCAAGCCAGACACACAGGAGCTCTCTGTATTACCAAGGTCTGCAAGCCAGGAACGTAGGAGCTCTCTGTATTGCCACATCCAGCAAGCCAGACACACAGGAGCCCTCTGTATTACCATGGTCTGAAAGCCAGGAACACAGGAGCTCTCTGTATCACCAAGGTCTGCAAGCTAGGAACACAGGAGCTCTCTGTATTGCCACATCCTGCAAGCCAGACACACAGGAGCTATCTGTATCACCATGGCCTGCAAGCCAGGAACACAGGAGCTCTCTGTATTGCCACATCCTGCAAGCCAGACACACAGGAGCTCTCTGTATCACCAAAGTCTGCAAGCCAGGAACACAGGAGCTCTCTGTATCACCAAGGTCTGCAAGCCAGGAACACAGGAGTTCTCTGTATTTATATGGCCTGCAAGCCAGGAACACAGGAGCTCTCATGTATCACCATGGCCTGCAAGCCAGGAACACAGGAGCTCTCTGTATTACCATGGCCTGCAAGCCAGACACACAGAAGCTCTCTGTATCACCAAGGTCTGCAAGCCAGGAACACAGGAGCTCTCTGTATTACCAAGGTCTGCAAGCCAGACACACAGAAGCTCTCTGTATTACCAAGGTCTGCAAGCCAGGATCACAGAAGCTCTCTGTATCACCAAGGTCTGCAAGCCAGGAACACAGGAGCTCTCTGTATCACCATGACCCGCAAGCTAGTGTTAGTGTTTAAACACTAACCCCCAATGGGACCACAAACAAAATAAGCATTATAATGATATCCTACCTTTAGAAGCTTCCAGCAACTGCAAACAAAAACAGATGATGTGTCATTACATAATACTTACAAATTTGAACCAAAAAAACCAACCTAGCTAAACACCCTACCATAATAACTTGCAAAAGGCACATCACTTGTGAGTGAATGCTACAAGGTTCGTACAGAAAAGGACCTCTCCCATTCAGGGTCTTTCCAGGCATACAGTTGTCATTTTCATGGCCTTTCGGGAGGGTGATTCTCAAGGCTTTTCACATTTGACTCTAAAAATGAAGGCTTTTCGAGAGGAACCATAAAATTAAGTCATCTTCAAATATGAATAAGCTTTTTGTAGTCTATTACATGTAATAAAAACATGTATAAAACTCCTTGTAGTCTGTTAGATGTAAGAATGAAAGCCATGTAATATGCTAAAACCTGAAAAATATCATTGCTCTTTTCATCCTCCCACCCAAATAGCTGGAATATTACAGAGTGCCTCTTAAACAACAAAGAAACACAACTATAAGAAAGCTGTATATACTCAGGGTGGCGTGGAAGCCTAATGGTTAAAGCATGCACTCGTCACGGCCAAGACCTGGGTTCAATTCCCCACACAGGTAAATGTGTGAAGCACATTTCTGCTGTCCCTTGCCGTGATATTGCTGGAACATTGTAAAATGTGGCGTAAAACCTTACTCACTCAATGTATATACTCATGTATCCTAACTGCGTAGATCGATGCTCATGCTATTGATCACTGGAGACTTGATTATTTACAGACTGCCGCCATACAGCTGGAATATTGCTGGGTGCAGCGTAAAACTAAACTCACTCACTCGATATACTCACAGGTCCGCCCTTCTTGTCTGCCACACATATAAACATTCTCTGGTTTCTCAGTGTGTGGGGCATTATCAATGCTGTCAGAGCATCTTCTTGTTCTTGGTAGCTAACAAAACCGTAGTTGTTGTTCCTAGAACAAAAGTTTGAACAGAGTTTCTGAACGACACCTTAACAGGGTTGAAGTGACTCAGACATTTACAACTAGTGAAAGCAACAAGATAAGTTACGATGTTGATTAATCCAGGATGAATATAAAAGTGAATATGTGGTGTGAATAACACGTGAGCAGATCCAGGCATAGCTGACAATATAAGGGAAGTAACTTTGTAAACACAAAGAAGAAGATCATATTGACCAAGACCAATTTTAACGGGGGATGCTCAATTATTTGATTTTATTTGTGTTTATTTTAAATGAATAGAAAGAAATAAATGTATACTTTGTATCTGAATTTCTAAATAACCCACTGTCACCCCCTGATGTTGCAGTTGGGGTCAGCAGAACTTTTATTAAGACTTGAAAATTTAAAGAATTTTGAAAATTATACAATTAAGCAATCCATGTTTGTCATAAGAAGCAACCCATCGGATCGGGTGACCCTGACTACAGAGATAGGGGAGTGGTGCACCAGCTTACTGTGCCACTTTGCCGATGGTTTTGCAAAAGTAGAGTTTCCCCCACATGGAGAAGTGTTGTGTAAGTTCATCGATAGTGACTTCACCAGGTATATTGCTCACAAACAACTTGTTTATCTGCAACAGAGAAAATTATGCATCAAAATTCACTGATAGCTGAAAAAATACACATAATCACAATTCCATGAATACAAAACTAAATATAAACAATGTAAGGCTGTGGATAATTCAAACTTTGAGAGAGAAGCATTCTGTAAGAAGAATCAACTTATGATTGTTGTAAGAGATGACTTCCGCCCGGAACATCAGCAAGACTACTCAACGTTCCCATATAACACTGGTGTTGAAAGAATTGCATTGGCTACCAGTTAGGGCCAGAATTGAATTTAAGATCCTCTGTCTGACATACAAGTGCCTCTGAACTCCTACATCTGTATGTCCCCGCACGCAACTTGAGCTCAAACACACAAAATCGACTGGTCATTCCATCCTACAAACTGAAATCCTTTGGACACTGATCATTCTCTTACTCTGCACCTGTGCTTTGGAACTCTCCCCCATGTGCCATTAAAAGCTCTGACACAACTGACATTTTTAAATCCAGGCTTAAAACCCACCTTTTCTCAATATATTATGAATAATTTTATCTGTTAATACTCCAGTGTAAATAATATGTAGCGCTTTCAGCATGCCTTAGGGTGTGGAAAGGTCAGATTATAAATATGCATTTATTAATATTATTATTATGACTAACAGAATCGGGTGGACAGACATGTTGACTTGGTTGATATGCGTTATCATATCTCAAGTGTGTTTTGAGCAGGTGCCCCACTAGACAAATGCCTCTATCAAACCAAAGTGGTGTGTGTATTGAGGAGGTGCCCCAAAGTGATGTTTGGATTGAGCAGGTGCCCCACTAGACAAATGCCTCTATCAAACCAAAGTGGTGTGTGTATTGAGGAGGTGCCCTAGTAGACAGATACCAGCATCAAACCAAAGTGATGTGTGTATTGAGCTGGTGCCCCACTAGACAGACACCACTATAAAACCAAAATGAGGCATGTATTGAGCAGGTGCCCCAATAGAGAGACCAGTATCAAACCAAAGTCTTGTGTGTATTGAGCAGGTGCCCCACTAGACAGATACCTGTATCTAACCAAAGAGTTGTGTGTATTGAGCAGGTGCCCCACTAGACAGATACCTGTATCTAACCAAAGCGTTGTGTGTATTAAGCAGGTGCCGCGCTACACAGATACCTGTATCTAACAAAAGAGTTGTGTGTATTGAGCAGTGGCCCCACTACACAGATACCACTATAAAACCAAAGTGATGTGTGTATTGAGCAGGTGTCCAACTAGACAGATACCAATATCAAACCAAAGAGTTGTGTGTATTGAGCAGGTGCCGCGCTACACAGATACCTGTATCAAACCAAACTGATGTGTGTATCGAGCAGGTGCCCTAGTAGACAGATACCAGCATCAAACCATGGAGTTGTGTGTATTGAGCAGGTGCCTCACTAGACAGATACCTGTATCTAACCAAAGAGTTGTGTGTATTGAGCAGGTGCCCCAGTAGACAGATACCAGTATCTAACCAAAGAGTTGTGTGTATTGAGCAGGTGCCCCAGTAGACAGATACCAGTATCTAACCAAAGAGTTGTGTGTATTGAGCAGGTGCTTATCTAAGCAGATACCTGTGCCGCACTACACAGATACTTGACAGAAAAGAGAAAATACAAACCTCTTGAAGTCCATCATTATCTCCATTATTTCTTACTTCTGGAACAAAGAAACAAGTAGCATTTACAACAATGTAGTAGGGTTTTTTGAGTTTTTTTACACATTCATAATTACTTAACTCAAAAGTGATTAAAGTACAATCACTGTATACATCTATGCTACAGAACAGAAACATTAATACTCGAAATGTAAGCTTTGTGAAACAGGTCCCAGATTGCCTACAGAGGGCTTAACAAGTGATAAGGCCCAGTCATAAAGCTCCCTCTTACAGACAGGGTGCCAGGCGCCTCATCTCCTGATGTCTAGTACAAGCTATACCAGAGTTCAGGTGCGCCTAGTGGCTGTAAGAGTTGTATGCTCCACAGGGAGTTGAGATTGACAATACAATGTGCCGTTGAGATTGACATCCAGTGAACGGGAGAAAAACAAAGCGCCTTTGAGCAGATGAGCTGAGCTGGATATCGGCGCTATACAAATGTTAGCGTGCGTGCGTATGTATGTATGTCTCTTACAGACAGGGTGCTGGGAACCCAATCTCCTCATGTCTAATACAAGATCAAAGTTACCCATCACACTCATGGGGTGCAGGGAATCTCCTGTCATGGCCTACTCACACTATATATATGATGAGACACAAAAACCACTAGAGCTTCCCTAAAACATGTCTAACAGATCAATGTCTTCATGAAATCTTACCTTTTACAACATCCTTCAGCTGAAATCAAGAAAAAGAATCATGTTTTTTAAACAAGCATTTAACATCAAACATGAACAATTTTGCAAAATAGTCCCATGAGTTAACAATTATTTTGGCTATCCTCGTCGGCACTCACAAGAAACCCTGTCTCACAAATGGCCATAAGAAATGTATAATAATCACTGTATTCATCTTTTCCTACTAATGAGTGAGTTCAAATTTAAAGTCACATTGGCAGTATTTCAGCCATATCATGACTTCCTACTAAGGAAATTTCATCTGTTAAATGAAATAATAATGCAATCAGCAATATTCCAGCTGTATGGCATTGCTGTGTATATAGTCGAATCTGGACTAGACAATCCAGTGATTGATACTGTGAGCAACAGTTGGGGTACCAGAACACGCTGTCAAGCAAGTCACTGAGTTTGACCACTGATTTCATTTGGTGACCACCGATTTCATTTGGTGACCAACATTCCATTTGTCTCTTCTTAACACCCGCATCCAATTTGTTGTCTTTTAAGGCCTGCATCCCATTAGTCACCTCTTAAGGCCTGCATCCCATTAGTCACCTCTTAAGGCCTGCATCCCATTAGTCACCTCTTAAGGCCTGCATCCCATTAGTCACCTCTTAAGGCCTGCATCCCATTAGTCACTTTTTAAGATCAACATCAATTATTTGCCTCTTGAGGCCTGCATCCCATTTCTGACCACCTTCCTATTAGCCATCTCTTAGAATGCTTGAGACCAGTTCTAACCCAGCATCCGTAAGACATCCCAGATATAACGCTTCAAAATGTCATGTCTGATGTTAACCAATGTTTCAGGTTCTGCTGCAACACCCCACTTTGAGACGAATATGATAGATATGATGGATACTGGGTAACAAATACGAATGTTGAGTAACAATTACAATCAGCAGCTGAAGTATTATTCAGTATATTCAGTGAAACAATAACCATATGGTAACATAATAAATTATTTGACATTTTTGACGATGTTGATGATCCCCATTCCCTAATAAACCCTCCCTATTACAAATATCTACTATGGTAAGTGACCCTCCCCCAATTCTAAACAGGCTGCCCAATTTAGATGCATTTTACGATAAGCAATGGGATGCTGGAGACACATTCTACCACAGAACAGGGAAGTAAGTCGGTGTTTTAGCTGCATTGCAATACCTGTAGATTGACTGTTTTGTGTGATTTTAAACCACTTCCTAATAACAGCCCCAACTTTGCTGGGGTATCCTTAAGAACCTGGGGTACTAAACATGTCCAACAATGAAATATCAAACAAAGGAACTCACAGCCCTGCAATTCGCTGCCACATGTACATTTATCACGGTTTCTCCGCAACTGTGGGTCGTGTTCAGACATTTCACGGCATCTTCAAAATTGGCGTAGGAAACAAAGACAAACCTGGCGTTTTTGGTCCTGAAAGATATCAGAATGTGAAAATGGGTTGACATTCAAGATAACTGCACTCATATAGTGATATTTATGAACATGTGTTTAAAGCTGCCAATACAAGTAAGAAACACTGGTTTTACAGTGCTAGCCCTCTGAGGAATCTGCAGTTCAACATGGATACTCCACTCAGACACAGCATACTCACTCTGAGCTGTCCTCAGTTTATCCTCTCAATGCTGTGGATCAACAAGTACCAGGCAGGGTATCAACAAGTACCAGGCAGGATATCAACAAGTACCAGGCAGGATATCAACAAGTACCAGGCAGGATATCAACAAGCACCAGGCAGGGTATCAACAAGTACCAGGAAGGGTAACAACAAGCACCAGGCAGGATATCAACAAGTACCAGGCAGCGTATCAACAAGTACCAGACAGGGTACCAACAAGTACCAGGCTGGGTAACAACAAGTACCAGGCAGGGTAACAACAAGCACCAGGCAGGATATCAATCTATTGGAATAGATTCCGAAGTCTGCACCTGCCCTTCTGAGTATATCTCAAGTTGAGTCGACCAGCAACTCATTAAGGACTTGAGTAAATCTAGCAGTTGCTGAAGTCGTCAAGAGACTTCAGAATCCATTCATGAGGGACAGAGTCATATGCTTTTTTGTAGTCAATCCATCACATGGAGAGGTTACGGTGATATGTTTTAGCATCTTCCAAAATCGTTTTCTGTACAAGAAGTTGGTCCTCCAACATCCCTTCCTTGCTCACTTCTGCTCTCTATAAATTATGTCATTAGAAGAACAGTAAGAGGACACAAGGTTTGTCGAACACCCTGGGAAGACTTTTATATTGAGTACTCAAGCATGTGATAGGGCGGAAGTTTTGGGCATCAGTCAAGTCTCCTTTATTGGGAAGAAGTATTGTGCGACCTTTGCTGAACCACGGAGGAACATCACCTGTGTCCACAAGAGAATTGAAACAGTAAAGTAATGGTGTTTGGACACAGGGGAACAGTTTCCAGTACCGGTTTTGAATGCGAGGGCCTGGAGCAGATTTGGACTTTTTTATGACACTTTTCAGGCAATCTGGTGAGATGTAACAGAAAGATGACCCAGTTATTTTCTCATGAATTTTGTGAACGTAATCACGAATCCAGTAGTATTCTTTCTATACGCCTTCTGTATTATAACATTTCCCCTGAACTGTCAATATATCTCCGTCTCTGTTTCTAATAATTGCTTGTGATGTAATTAGTTATTGTAAATATCTTTGGAAAGGGGTTTCATAAGTTGTAAGAATTTGTCCCCGATCCTTTTCACATTGTGAATAAAATATGTTTAAACTAAACTAACCCATGGTGCCTCAAGGATACAGTCGCCGGGTACAGACTACAACTGTTTCCTTAACCCTTCATTGGCATCCATGATAAGGCCACTTATCATGTTTACCATCACCCTTTGTTTTGAGTTGCCCGTAAAAGTGCTTTTCATTATTTTTAAAAAGTTTATTTTGCTTTATAAATTCGTTCTTTTCCCATTTTTTCTTCTCTAGTTTCCTTTAAAGGTCACATGCAACCAAAAAATCAAACATAATTAAAACACAATTATCACTTCTTCATGACATATAATATGCATTGCTGATTATGAAAAAACAAATAAACAAAATTATAAGCGTATAATCGCCAAATCAAAAGTGCAATATTTTGTACTTGGGTTTACCTCCCTCGAAGCGAAGCAGCGGGATACGAACCCAGTCAGGCGGGTGGGTGTGCACTCAAGTGTAACGGCTGGTTCATTAGCAGATGCCGCCTTCATGGCTCATTGTGTGTGTGTATATATATAGAGATGTTGGGTTTTGTAAATACATGCTCATTTTTTGTGTATAACATTTTGCAATCAACAGACATCATAACATGTCATGTGTTCAAGTATCACACCTGCCTGTCTGTGTAATTACATAATGTGACAGAGACCGAACTTCGGGCCATAAATCAATGCGTTTTGTTTATGGTGTATAGCCTGATTGGTGTTAAGTTCAAATTGCATGTGGTCAGCGATCGCAGGTGTGTATTGAATATTGTCATTAGCAGACAGGCAGGCAGACACACAGGTGTCAATAAAACAAGACATTGAGTTTTGTCTGTGACAGCGACATATCTATATCACAGTTAGAAATTGTGTCAGCTAAATAATGACATTGCTTTTAAGTATCGAACTGAGAAAGTGACTCGGTAAGAAGAGCGTGTGGTGAAATAGACAAATGAAATTATATAAACAGTTTATTTACTGTCATAACATATAAAAGCTTCAGCCTGTGAGATATCAACAAAACATTAGGAAAATAGCTCACACCAAAGCCTTCACCCGGTATTCACCAGACAGCCAGCTTCCAAGTTGCGCGAACCTATTTCACTGCGCACGTGCTATGGAGCGCAGCCAGCTGTTGAAACCCGTATTCCCCAGAAAAGTCTGGGGAAAATTAGTGAAACGTTTGAACTCTCGATTTTCGCGCGGGTTTTTTTCATCGCGTTATTTTTCAACTTTATAAGTTGAATTTGCATTTTTTACGCTTTGTTTCGGTAAGTCCATACCGAAAGGTATCAGAATCTGCAAAGTTGTGTTTTACGTTGCATGTGACCTTTAAGTTTTACCAGAAAACGTTTTTTCTGTGGTGTTTTGTTATTCTCATTGGATGTTTTTTCTTTGAAAACTGTGAAATTCCTCCAAAGTTCGAGCAGCAACATAGACACGGCAATTAACTTCATGTAATTAACAGTCGGCTGAAAGTTTTAGAGAAATAGCTATATTACGTAAAAATAATCTTTATGAATAGACTTGAACAAAATGTAAACAGGATTTTCAGAAAGATTTGCAACTGAGGAAGAAGAAGAGTGAGAGTCAGAAATTTCGGGACCATTGGCTCGATCCCGGAAGAGTTTACATCAGGAAGATGAAAGAGGACAGGGATAAACCCGGACATCCTTTAGAAGTTTGTGAGTCACTGCCACTTGAGTATTCTGATCATGCAAAGGTTCCTGATGGGCACCAGTTGCGGGTTCAACTAGCTGACGGCGCATGTGAGTTTAAGGTGCTGGAGTTGGTCATGGAGATTTTGCTTCGTCAGGTAAGGCTGCATTGGCATGGCATTTTCCCAATGCCGCTTAAGCGACTTGGCATTGATGCCATACCAAATTGCTTTCAATATTTCATGCATGGAAATAATTTGTGAAGAAGGCCAAAAAATTTAATTTTGGGAAACTAGCACAATTTTGAAATAATACAGGAGTAATTATTCGGCCAAAATCTAAGTTGGTCTCCATGTAACCAAGTCAGCAAGCTTAATCTCCGGAACGTGTAAGTGGACTTTTACAAGAAATATGGGTTCTCGAGATATTGTTCTTTTTTTTTTCTCTCCAGCTCTCAGTATGTATGAAAATAACCTGGCATGAAGCGCAAACTTACCTCTTAGCCTTTTTTGCTACATCACAGAAGGATATGTTTCCCCACTGGGAGAAGTAGTCGCACAGGTCCTCCTCAGACACATCAAGAGGTATGTTAGACACATACAACTTGTGCTTCTCTAAGGACTACAACAGAGAAAAATGTAGCTGAACCTGTAGAGGTGTCCAATTCTTTGAAGAGAATCGTCCTTGGGGTACATATATGCACTTTCTGCGGCTGAAAATGTCATTTGACAGTGGTATCATTGGATTAATAAAAATATTGTACAATAAATAATTATTTTTTTTTTTATTATACGGCCTCCCCCACGTGGAGTTACCCCCCTTCTACGCATGCGCAGCCAACCAGGTAAGCACCTAGGCCCATATTATCATTCCTTCTGCTGAACAAATCAGTGAACAGAATTGCGGTGAGGTGGGTGGCCCTACCTCAAAGACAATTCGCTTCAAAGAATTGGAAACCTCTACAGGTTTAGCTAATTCTCTTTCATAGAGATCATCCTTGGGGTACATATATGCATTAACTCTGACTCCCAAAGACCGGAGGCTAGGGAGGAGGGAATTCTGTCAAAGTACACAAAAATAGCGATCGTTAAGAAGAAAGTAACTGACGCCACAACACTCACCTGTCACATGTCCCAAAGCTTCTGCGAGAGGCATGATGGGAGGGTAACCGACAGGGGGGAACGTACTGAGACCCGACCTCACAAGTTAAGCAAAACAGTTCGCACACTGTGCGAAAGTAAAAAACCCTCCCACATCGTGAAATCTATAAAAGAGCACCGTAAGGGGAAAACCAACTAACAACCCGACTATTATCTCACAAGACTGACTGACTGAGTTTAGTTTTACGCCGCTTTTAGCAATTTTCCAGCAATATCATGGCGGGGGACACCAGAAATGGGCTTAGCACATTGTGCCCATGTGGGGAATCGAACCCGGGCCTTCGGCGTGACGAGCCAATGCTTTAACCACTAGGCTACCCCACCGCCCCTATCTCACAAGAGAAATTGAAAGTAGTTTGATATGACAACAGCGAATATATCAATTATACACAATTGAAAACAGCATCATCTGTCCAGATGACCAAGACTCACTCGGTCAGGGTGGCAGGACACTGTCCACTGGAGTGAACAGAACGGCCAAATCTCGCTCGATCACGTGAATATGTATTGAGCTGATAGTGCCTTATGAAAGAGCTAGGCCTGCTCCAAAAGCGGCAGAGCATATCTCTTCAATGGGCATTGCCGATGCAAAAGCCTTTGAAGTGGCCACTGCCCTGACTGAGTGAGCCTCTAGCCCCTCAGGGGGAGGCTTGCCTTTAGCCTGATAAGCACTACAAATGACCGATAAAAGCCAGCGTGATAGGGTCTGTTTGCTAGCCTGCATCCCAGCCTTCCCGCCACCATAACAGCAGAACAGATGGATACTTGAACGGATCTCTTGTGTTCGTTTGATATAGACCTTGAGGGTCTTACGGACATCCAACAGGTGAGTGCTCATTGCAGAGGTCCCCGATGTTGAAGGCTTGGTAAGTAGTAGGAAGTAGGAAGTTCAATAGGAGCTGTCACACGGAAAGTGTGATCGATCTTCGGATGGTAAGTATCCAGGAGGCGACCCTTCGCCCAGATGTTACCGCCACCAGAAATGCGGCCTTCCATGTTGACAGCTGAATCGAAATAGCCGATAGACGTGAGAAAGTAGGTCCGGACAGCCAATCTAGCACGATTGACAAATCCCAAGGTGAGATGGTACGCCTGAGAGCAGGTGGAACCTGATCCACGCCAGCTAAGAAGCGCTGCAAAAGAGGGTGCTGCCCCAGCAGAGCACCATCGACAGGGGTGTGGAAAGTGGAAATAGCAGTGGAGTAGCCACGAATGGTCGAAGCCTCCAAGCCTTCTTCCAATGAGCTTGCAGAAAATCCAATATTCAGACTAAATCCGCAGAAAAGGGATCTGCAGTCCCCCTACCTGAACACCAGCGCGCATAGCGGGACCACCTATCCCCATATTGAACGTTTGTCGAAGCCAGAAATGTGTCTGCAACTGCTGCAGGAATTCCGCGTGCCTCGAGGCTAGACCGGACAGAGGCCAAGCCACCCTCTGAATCCTTGGATTGGGGTGTGGCCTGCCGTTCTAAGTGAGAATGTCCGGTCGAAAGGTAATAGAACACGAGGCTGAGGCTGAGCCAGAAACCTGAAAATTACCGGAAACCAGCTCTGTGACAGCCATAGCAGTGCCAGTAGCACAAGTAGCCGAGCTGGCTGGATGGACAGCTGGGAGCAGACCCGGGGAATGAGTGGTAGAGGCAGAAACGCCCACAGCACCTTTCCCGTCCAATCCAGCAGGAAGGCATCGGAAGCCAACGCCCTCTATTCGAGAGCAAAACACAGGTATCTGATTTGTCTCGCCGGACGCAAACAGATCCCCCTGGAACGATCCGTACAACTGGGAGATAACTCCGAATATCTGCCGGTTGAGCATCCACTTGTGCGGGGGTAGGATTCGTCGAGAGAGAGCCGCACGTTCCCCAGCCCCAGGAGATACACAGGAATCACCTGACAGTCGCACTGGTCGCACCAGAGGAGAAACTCCCACGTCTCACGAAGGACTGCCCAGAACACCCCCCCAGCCTGTGAGGGACTCATCGGTTTGAACTGTAAGAGATGGCATCGGGATTTCCAAAGGGGACCCCCTTGGAGAGGGGTCCACCACTGAAGGTGAGGAGACAACCACCCGGGAACTGTGAGACACTTCTCCAGATCCTCCTTGAGCCCACAGACTCGCCAAAGCTTGCTGTATAGTGCTCATCCTCAACCGTGCCCGCCACACGACAGAGACAGTTGCCGCCATATGACCCAGTAGAGGGAGTGAAGTCCGCGCTGGTGCCTGGGTCTGGAAGATGAATGAAGACACCATCTCCCGAACCTTGGTGACCCGGTCGAGCGACAAAGAGACAAGACCCTGTTGAAAAACCAAGTCCTGGGTAGGTACCAGGTCGGATTTCTTGAGGTTGATGATCCACCCCATTCGAACTAGAATGTCTATCACTGTGTGGGTAGAATCTAGGCTTGCTGGCTGAGTTAGAGCGCTAATACAGCAGTCGTCAAGGTAAGGGTAACAACGCCTTCATTGTGACCTTGCGAGGGTAGCTGGCACTAACATGAGCTTGGTGAACACCCTTGGGGGCAGTGGATATGCCGAAGGGGAGCACCATGAATTGGTAACACATTCCGTCGTAAGAGAACCAGGGGTACTGCTTGAGCGAGGAATGAATAGGCACATGTAGATATGCATCCTTCAAGTCGATCGACGTAAGCCAATCGCCAGAGATGAACAGAGATCGCAGAGCGAAGTGTCTCCATCTTGAAAGATGAAACCTCTGACATGTGATTCAACCCCTTGAGGTTGAGAATGGGACGGAACCTGCCATACTTCTTCGGAATGAGGAAGTACGTGGAATAAAACCCCGCCTGTTCCTCGCCCGGTGGTATGCGCTCCATCGCGGACTTGTCCAGCAAAGCCTGAACTTCGTCGTGCAGTATACCCACCTTGACTGGATATGACAGCACCAGAGTGCACCTTATGCCGGTGAACTCTGGCGGGCCTCGCTTCCACAGTGGTAGATGGCCGAAACTGACGGTGGATAGCACCCAAGTATTGCTTGTAGCCTTCTCCCACTTAGAGAGAGGCGGCCTCCCACTGGGACGTGTGGTAGGAGTGCATGAGTAGTCCCCTGCAGATGAACTGGCTGGGACAGAACCACGGCGACAGCCTGCAGGTTTAACAGGAGGTCAGGGCAGACCCCCGGCCCGCCTGCATCAGACTATAAAGAGTCTCATGTCAGGTGGGCCTGAACTTCGGATAGTTGGCAGAGAAGAACAACATTCGGGGAAACATCACCAGTGCTCCCCTCCGCCTCCAGAGCCGACCTTTGTATCGAGGAAAGGTACGCCTCATGGACCACCACCTGCACCTGCTGCATGGCATTCTGGTTGACTTCCTCGAAGTCAGGTATGCCTGCCGTAGGGGGCGCCTGACTGGGCAAACGGTGGTACTAATCGCCCTTGCTTGACAGCCGGGGCTGCACCTGAGGAAGCCGAGCCTCCCCCGAGTGCGACCGAAGTGAATACAAATTCATCCACCACTGACACAAAGAACAGAGAATCATCACCCAGCTGACAACTCTTAACACGTTGGGGAGATCGAACCTGAGGCGAGAACCAACAGGAGAGGAACCATCACGTCCTGCACCAGGGAGGGCAAGATGCGGAGCTGTGTCTGACAGGGCTGCCGAGGAGCAAAAGCCTCACCCGGCAGTCAGAAATCAGTCGAGTCCGAGCTACATGTTGGCACCGCGGCATGGGGAATATACTGGGCAATACGTTACCTAACCTCCCGGAGAGCCGACGAAAAATAGAAAGTACCCTCAGAATCCTCGACCTCCCCAACCTTCACAGACTCGGCACCCGGGCCCGAGTCAGAATTCGGATCTCCACGTGAAGAGGAGCCGAACCCCTACCCGGTGGGAGGCCGAGCCACAGACGGAAAGGGAAGAGCCGAAGGAACTCTCAGTTGCGGTAACCCACACTACACTCTAACCCCGGTCCCGAGACACGGGAGTAAGCCCAAACAGAACCGGCTCCTCAGCTCTCATGGGGCGGGGTGGCGCAGGGACCGGAATCCCAGGAATCCTGCTAACACCGAGAGAGGGACTGGGAGCGAACCCTCCTCCTCTGGGGTAGCCGAGGCCAAAGGCAAAGGATCCCACCCCCGGACTCTCAGCCCCCCCGATCAGACTGGGCAAGGAACAAAGTCACATGAATGAGAAATAACTGACTGCAAAGTCAATAAAATGTGTCTCAAGAACGAATAAAGACCATACATACAGTAGTTGAAGTCTCAGACATTCTTCCGATAAGAAGTAAATCAGCTTGTAACTCTCAGGAAACACGTGTGAACGCTAGAGTGACGGCAGAAGGAATGATGATACAGGCCTAGGTGCTTACCTGGTAAGCTGCGCATGCATAGCAGGGGGGTAACTCCACATGGTGGGGGCCGTATAATAAATGAAAAAGATTTTTATTTATTGTACAATATTTTTATTAAAACATTGATACAACTGTCAAATGACATTTTCAGCCGCAGAAAATGCATATGTGTACCCCAAGGACGATTTCTATGAAAAAGAATGTCCATGAATGGTTTACAAATGCTGTCAGAGAGTTAATATTTATTATCACATCTGTATTGTCTCAGCCGTATAGTGACGAAATGATTTTGTTATTTTTTCAGATTAAAACTATCAGGACTTGTTCACTCACTGTTCAATGCCACACTCAGCAGTATTCCAGCTACAAAAAAGCAGTTCGTAAATAAGTGAGACTGGACCAAACAATCGAGTGACTGATATCATGAACACTGACCTAAACAATTAGGAAACAATGACATGCTAGTCACAGATGCTGACCATCCATTCAAGTTGTCACCTGACACCAATCAGATATTCCAAACACCCGACCCGTAGGCCACTTTCATTGTTTAAGAAGGTAACTCTCAATGTTGCGGATAGTAGTTAGTCTTCAATGTCCAAGTAAAAACATTACCATCTTTGTTTCATAGAAATACATACCTTTTTGATATTCAAATTTCTTTTTGGATCTGAAACACAGAAAGTTATTGTCAAGCAATTCTAGAAGTTGTAATCAATAGTCATTCCTAATTCAACTGTTTGTATACAGTATTTGAACCCATAACTAGGACTGCACATTTCTAAGAAACCATGCCCCCCCATATTATTTTACTTATGAAATGGTTTTCAATTGCATTTGCTGCAACTAAATTACATTGGCTTCAACTAAATTGCAAAATTGAGTGATTTCCATTTAACCAGATGCCCTTCAACATGTGATGTATCAAGAGGATCTATCTGCCAATGTTGAAGCTTAAGTGCTGTTATGTTTTTCATATGTTCCATGTTTACTTGACACATTGAACAACTCGAAGTTTTGTCTGTTTTGCTTGTTGTTTGCCACTCTCTGCCACGCACTGCCACACTCTACATTATGGTGGTCTGTAAACACTTGGGTCTGGATCAGACAGTCTAGAGATTGACATCATGAGCATCGATCCACCCAGTTGGGAATATGACTGCATGCATAAACCACGTCAGCAAGCCTGACCACCTGATCCCGTAATTTTTTAAATTCCAAAAATCACCAAAAGGCACCAGTTTACCACTGGAATGATCCGTAGTTTCAGGAAGAAATATTCAACAGTTTATTAGTTCTGCTATGGAAACAGAAAAACGATGGAGTGAGTGAGTGAGTTAGTATTTAACGTCACATCGGCAATATTTCAGCCATATCGTGACGAGAACATTGGACATTGTAATAGACATATTGTGACGAGAACATTTGACATTAAGAAATAGAATATATATATATAGAAACTATAAACACCTGCCGACGAAGGACAGTAAAAATACTAGACAATCACAGATATGAATATAAAACTAGCATACAAAGCTAAAATACTCCAATGAAAGAAGACAATACAATGTAAAAAAAGGGCTATAGATCGCCAACAACTGAAGGTAGATCACCATACTAGGAACCATGGGGACTTACATTACTTTTGCTACCTGCATGGACCCTAGTTGGATTTACACCATCCCTTCAGCCATTGGCGACAGAAGAGAAATCTAGCCATAAATTAAAAGCACACATATTCTACGATTAAAAACCTGGTACACTTAAATTGACTTTGAAAGTTTTGGGACTTACATACCCTCTCAGGAGGACAATAATTTTACGCTACGTCAACCCCCTTTGAGGGTACAGCCACTAACAATCTAAGTTACCAATATAAACTACCAACAATAAAATATTTAACTATTTACAAATCAGTCAACAAATCTAATTTTTTTAAAAATGCAATAATTAAGTGAGAACTAACATTATTAAAAAGATCCTTCAGAGTTTTGGATTTGAAATAGATATCCCTTGTGATGGAATATTCAATGCAGTCAAGCAAGACATGCTTGACTGTGATCCTTTCATCACAAGGGATACAAAACGGAGGATCTTCGCCTTTCAATAAATATTCATGAGTATATCTGGTATGGCCAATGCGACATTGTCGCATAATGACCTCCTCAAATCTGGACTGACAACCCAAGTAGGTGTAACCAATATAAGGTTTTCTTGCATGTAGTTTATTAATACCTACTTGGTTGTCCCACTTCTTCTGCATCAGACCACGGATGTAAGTTCTAATGCCAGCTTTGTAATCAGAGTATGGGATCAGAAGTAGGGTCACAGATTTGTTGAGTGCTGCCTTAGCAGCAATATCAGCCATTGTGTTCCCAGAAATGCCAACGTGGCTGGGTAACCAACAAAAGACGATGTCGCATTGGCCAGTAGCAAGTTCATTGTACAATTCAATAATTTCTAATAAAAGTGGATGTTTGCAAGAAAGATTTTTAATAGCCTGAAGACACGAAAGAGAATCTGAAAAGATGATATATTGTTTATATTTACGGTGTTTATTAATATATTTAAGAGCTGTTAAGATGGCGTTTGCTTCTGCTGTAAATATAGAGCTGTTATCCGGTATTCTAGAAGATATTGTTCGGGATCCAATGACAGTGGCACAAGCTACAGCGCCACCATCCTTGGACCCATCTGTAAATAAGGATTTGTATGTAGTATATTTATTTCTTAATTGACTAAATTCTTGTTTATACTGTAATTCATTTGTTTCTGATTTTTTAAATGTAGTTAATGTTAGGTCAACTTGTGGCCTAACCAATTGCCAAGGCGGAGAAGACAGAAAACGGGAAGGAGCTATATGTTCTAGCTCAATGCCAGCAGCAGAAAGAAAAGGTTTCACTCTTATACCAAGAGGCGGAACAAGAGAAGGCTTCTTGTTGTACAGATCTTCATATAGTGGATTAAAGACACAGGTATATGCAGGGTGAAAAACGATGGAAGGAAGGTATGGAAGTATGTAGGTAGGTGTATAGAAATCAGCATCCATCTGTCCATGCATTCATACCTATGTTCCTTTTTCAACAAAGAGATAAAAATATTTTCTTATGTTAAACTCTTGCTCTTTTATTCCATATATGCGAGTAATAAGTATTGTTTCAATAAACCGCACCAACCTGTAGAGGTTGATGATACTTTGAAGAGAGTGCTCCTTGGGATACTTATTAGCATAAGACAGACTCCCATACATAGTTAGGAGTGGCATTCTGTCTAGCAAAACGCCAATTCATGTGGAACTTCTCAATCATTCCCCATCCCCCTACTCCTCCTTTTTTTGGAAGAGGAATTAGCAAAGGCCTCGACAAAACCCTGAGAAATTACTAGTCCAGTTAGTTAATCTTTCTGAGGAAGTTGAACAAGTGCAAGCGTACACATTATGAGGGATAAAGTACCACCACTAAACTACCTCATTCCAGGGTAAATAGAGGATACTAAACGACCTTCCGTGTAATACCATTTCTATTAAACGAGTGAATGATTTGGTATCAAACGAGAGAAAGCGAGTTTGATGCTAAATCTTTCATGAGTTTAATAGAAATTGTATTTCACGGAAGCATGTTTAGTATTCTGTTTATTACTCTCCAACATAAACTGATAGAAAGTGCCTCTGAAGTGTGATGACTCTCAGCTTTCTACGAGTCAAGCAAAGTCTAATACCATTGTGACAGAAGTATTAGCATTGTGATGTCATAACTGTAACCATTATGACGTCATAACGTCTAGCGGTCTTACACTAGTGTAATACATGTACAGCCGTAAAATATTACACAGCAGTATCTTCCACGGGCGAGTAGTAAAGAATACATACCCATCACCCAGTGCAGAAACAGTCTAATTTCGAAAGCTCAATCGACTAGAGAGCTACGACCCAGTGCAGAGAACTGACTGACCAAACCGAGCATGCTCGCTAGAGTGCTTGTGAGTTGGTAATGTTTGATGAACGTGCTCGGTCGGCTACATATGGCCACTGAGCAGGTCTTTTCAATGGGCAGAGCCACAGCATACGCTTTAGAGGTCGCTATTGCCCTAAACGAACGAACTTTCAAACCCTCCTGGGGGAGAACTACCCTTGGGAATATAGCCCATGCAGATGGCAGATACAAGCCACCAAGATGGTCTGCTTGCCTGCCAGCCTTCCCACTGCCATAACAGTAGAAAACTTGATTATCCTTACAGAATCTTTTGTTCACACGATATAGGCCCTGCAGAGATCCAAAACGAGGAAGGCTGAGAGACTGCAGTGAGCTTAATAGGAGCCATCATCTTAGGATGGTGAGAGTCTGGCAGTCTAATACTGACTCTGTCCTTGTGAAAGACCATCAGCTCAGGATTGACAGACATTGCGTGAATGGCCACATGTTACAGCCACAAGAAATGATGCCTTCCAACTCAACAGCTGGAGTGAAAGAGACAACAGATTGTGAAAAAGAGGACCGCACAACCAATCAAGAATGATTGACAAATGCCAAGTAGGGCTGATCCACCTGATATTTGGTCAGATCCTGTCCATGCCTGCTAGAAAACCTGTATGAGAGGGTGCTGCCCTAAAAGAGCACTGTCGACCACTTGACCCAAAACCTGTTCCACAAAGCATTCGAACACCAACCAGACTGCTCGCAATTCCAGTACATTGTTGTGCTGACTTCATTCTCCGACCAAAGTCCTTAAACGTGTACGCCACACTACGTCCTACGTCTCCACCATATCTCCAAGCAACTGGAGCCATATAAATGCTCAAACTCTGGGAGACTCAAAGAACTGTAGTCCTCTGGACTTTATCCTCTAAACTGTTGGGCTAGGCCCCCGAGGACTGACCTGAGCTGAAATTGGTGAACATAGATGGCATTGTAGAGATGCTGAAGGGGAAATTGGTAGTACTTCCCGTTGAAGGAGAACCGAAGGTACCTCTTGAAATTGGGGTGCATTGGAACATCGAGGTATGGCGTCTTTGAGGCCGATTGACGTCAGCCAATCCCCTGCCTAAACAAATGAGATCACTGAATGCATGTCTTCATATTGAAGGACAGTATATCTATTAACTTGTTCAGCCCTTAGAGATTGCGAAAGGGTCAGAACTCACCGTCCTTTTTGGTAATGAGGACATAAATGGAGAAGAAACCCACATTTTCCTGACCTTTTGGAACAATCTCAATGGCTGCCTTGTCCAGCAGGGACGGGACCTCAGCACGGAGTACTTCGGCCTGCTTCTGGGAGTCTGGCACTGGTGTGTGCCGCACTCTGGAATATGATGGTGGATCTCACTCCTACTGTGGCAAGTGGCCATCCCTGATCGAGGACAGGACCAATGTATTCAATGTGGCATTCCAAGAAAGGAAGAGGGAGAGACGACCACTGACAGGGATTTGTGGCAGTGGGTAGTGAAGCCCTGCAGCCGGCAATGTGTCGTTTGCTAGTGCCAGGGGCACTGAGGGCACCAAAGGGATTAACAGGAAGCCTGGTCCAACTTCCCTTTCCCCCGAAAAGGCTGCCGGAAGCAAAGTGCCTTGTCCCTGCCTTTGCCCTTCTTAGTCTGCAGTGGAGCATTCTCCCTCCTCGTTGCGGAAGGATGTGAAACGGCAAGAACTGAGGGCCGTGAGCAAGAAGTGGAGGGATGCTCCAGCAAAGGTTTGGAATCCTTGAAGGTGCTAACAGCCTCCGCGGCCTCTCAGACCACTCTCAGAACCCCAGGAAAGAGGGTAGAACCTATCATGTAGGGAAACAAAAGTAGTGCCTGTTGTATGGATGCTGAATACCTTGATACTGACAGCCAACCACACTCATCATCTGGCTGGCACAGCCACGAATGCTGTCCCTAGCCAAATCTGAGTGGACATCCGTCAGCTGCCTTGCTCTTTCCCAAGTCCACCAGCTCCCACTGTAGAGCAGGGAGATATGCTGTGTGGACCACAACTTACTGCTGTTGTGGAAACTGTGGAGTGGAGAGGTGACAGAAAAGTTACAAAATTTTCTAAATGTGTCCAATATCTCGCCCATTCTATTAAAAAGGGACCACACATACACTATTCGTTTCTTTCTTTTGAAGGAATTCAACTTGAAAAGTTTTAGTGAACAGCACACGTATTTACTTGGTTAACAAAAGCATGGAAATTGATAAGTTAAAGTTACCTACTGTAGACCAGGTGAGGCTCAGCAGGGATCGTTGAACAAGGCAAAAACAATTTGTTTTGTTTTGTAAATATTTTATTCAAAATATTGTTACAACTGTCGTAGGAATTTTTCATGGACATATTCATAATTTGTATCACATTTTAGTCCATTGTTCAATTTTATGCCCTGGGCTTAATTTAGGATATAATGTCACCCAATTTAAATATGAAAAACCCATAATTAAAAGAAAGAAGAAATTAGAAGAAAGCAATAATACATTAGACAAGCTTGATAAGTTCTCACATACTCTATTTGGTTTCTGTACATTTTTTTGGATAACTTACCAAGTCGTTCATCATGCTGGAATAAGAAACAAAGTTGTAATCAGAATTTTCAGTTTTGACAAAAAGAAAACCAGTAATCCCTTCATAATACATGTTGTCTAATGTCACTGTCACATTTTGGCAACCTGTCCTGGAAGTAACTGACTCCGTACCAGACTGACATCCTGAGGAACAAGCCATGTTGTACAAATCCACTAACACCCTGAGTCTGACCATGTGATGTAACTCACCTCTTACAACCAGCATAGGTTGCAAGGGACCTACTTAATCCCAAAATCCCAAGCAAATAGTTGTCACAAACAAAATTGTCCTTAATAATTCAACGAATACTAACTCCATACCAGGAGAAAGGTTCCCCTCTAGGATGTGAAGCAATTCTACTGATGCAAGAATAGGATTCAAAAGATTAGGTGTAAACTATACAATGGGTGTTTCCACAACTACAATGTAAAACAAGAATGGTGTACTGGTGTAATCCCCACAACTATAGGAAGGGACAACAAGCATTCAGTGCTGGTAACCCATTCTACAGAACCCTCAGGGAGACATGGGGACCTGTTGTACACGACAACCCACAGGGAGACAAGCATGGAGGACTGGGGACCTGTTGTACACGACAACCCACAGGGAGACAAGCATGGAGGACTGGGGACCTGTTGTACACCACAACCCACAGGGAGACAAGCATGGAGGACTGGGGACCTGTTGTACACCACAACCCACAGGGAGACAAGCATGGAGGACTGGGGACCTGTTTATACAGGGAGGGACCACAACCCACAGGGAGACAAGCATGGAGGACTGGGGACCTGTTGTACACCACAACCCACAGGGGAGACAACAAGGAGGACTGGGGAGCTACCACAACCCACAGAAGGGGAGACAAGCATGGAAGGGAGGACTGTTGTACACCACAACCCACAGGGAGACAAGCAAGGAGGACTGGGGACCTGTTGTACACCACAACCCACAGGGAGACAAGCATGGAGGACTGGGGACCTGTTGTACACCACAACCCACAGGGGAGACAAGCATGGAGGACTGGGGAGGGGACTGAGGGACTGGGGACCTGTTGTACACCACAACCCACAGGGGAGACAAGAGGACAAGTACACCACAACCCACAGGGAGGAGGACTGGGGACCTGTTGTACACCACAACCCACAGGGAGACAAGCATGGAGGACTGGGGACCTGTTGTACACCACAACCCACAGGGAGACAAGCATGGAGGACTGGGGACCTGTTGTACACCACAACCCACAGGGAGACAAGAAGGAGGACTGAGGGACCTGTTGTACACCACAACCCACAGGGAGACAAGCATGGAGGACTGGGGACCTGTTGTACACCACAACCCACAGGGAGACAAGCATGGAGGACTGGGGACCCTGTACACCACAACCACAGGGAGACAACCCACACAGGGGAGACAAGCATGGAGGACTGGGGACCTGTTGTACACCACAACCCACAGGGAGACAAGCATGGAGGACTGGGGACCTGCTTGCTACACCACAACCCACAAGGGAGACAAGATGGGACTGGGGACCTGTTATACACCACAACCCACAGGGAGACAAGCATGGAGGACTGGGGACCTGTTGTACACCACAACCCACAGGGAGGACTGGGGAGTACACCACAACCACACATGGAGGAGGACTGGGGACCTGTTGTACACCACAACCCACAGGGAGACAAGCATGGAGGACTGGGGACCTGTTGTACACCACAACCCACAGGGAGACAAGACATGGAGGACTGGGGACCTGTTGTACACCACAACCCACAGGGAGACAAGCATGGAGGACTGGGGACCTGTTGACTACCTGTTGTACACCACAACAACCCACAGGGAGACAAGCATGGAGGACTGGGGACCTACACCACACAGGGAGACAAGCATGGAGGACTGGGGACCTGTTGTACACCACAACCCACAGGGAGACAAGCATGGAGGACTGAGGACTGGGGAACTGGGAGAGACAAGCAAGGAGGACTGGGGACCTGTTGTACACCACAACCCACAGGGAGACAAGCAAGGAGGACTGGGGACCTGTTGTACACCACAACCCACAGGGAGACAAGCATGGAGGACTGGGGACCTGTTGTACACCACAACCCACAGGGAGACAAGCATGGAGGACTGGGGACCTGTTGTACACCACAACCCACAGGGAGACAAGCATGGAGGACTGGGGACCTGTTGTACACCACAACCCACAGGGAGACAAGACAAGCATGGAGGACTGGGGACCTGTTGTACACCACAACCCACAGGGAGACAAGCATGGAGGACTGGGGACCTGTTGTACACCACAACCCACAGGGAGACAAGCATGGAGGACTGGGGACCTGTTGTACACCACAACCCACAGGGAGACAAGCATGGAGGACTGGGGACCTGTTGTACACCACAACCCACAGGGAGACAAGCATGGAGTACTGGGGACCTGTTGTACACCATAACCCACAGGGAGACAAGCATGGAGGACTGGGGACCTGTTGTACACCACAAGCCCACAGGGAGACAAGCATGGAGGACTGGGGACCTGTTGTACACCACAACCCACAGGGAGACAAGCATGGAGGACTGGAGACCTGTTGTACACCACAACCCACAGGAAGACCTACCAAGGGAGACAAGCATGGAGGACTGGAGACCTGATGTACACCACAACCCACAGGAAGACTACCAAGGTGTACAGGGTACATGAGCTACACATCCCCCAGGTAGCCAAGCTAGAAGTACAGGTATTTAATCTAAGGGAGACAAACCATGGCATCTACTTGATGGCATATACACATAAAGTATGTTTGAGCTCACCGAGATAATAACCCGCTTCTTATTGATGAACTGTGGTCGAACAGCGAAAGCAGCCATAGCAGCCTCTTCGTTGACAAACTGCACGATGCCTGATCCTGTGCACCTGAATTACAATTGCAGGTGTAAGTTTCTCACGACTTAAGTTACCAGTGTGCAGGCCGCTAAAATCTCGAATCTGAACAAACACAAAAACCCTGATGCTACAGACAGTGTTGATTTTGGTCCCATTTTAAGTCAAAAGCAGATATATTTTTCTGCCACATGCCACAAATGTGCCAAAGGAAAATACAGAATCAGAAACTGTATCTTCCTGACCTTACACCTTTTTAAAAATAAATATATATTACTCATGAGTATAATTCCACTTTCATATTAACCACCAACTAAAGTTTCGAAAATGACAAACTGACAAAAAATGAAAGTATTTTACAGCGTAAATGTTTTGGAAAGCATCCTGACTCTATTATGGAGGGAGTAAGAGGGTGAAATATCAAATAAACATGATAAACAGGATAAATAGAGTAATGCAGACCAAGATTCCAATTTAGTTTACAATGAGTTCAGTTTTACACCGCTGTTAGCAATATTCCGGCAATATCACGTAGCCAGACATTAGCAATGTGTGTTGAAGGTGGCTGACAGAATCACTTATAAAGTGCTCCTGTTAACCTTCAAAGCAAGGACAGGCCTAGCCCCTGTGTATCTCCGGGAACTCCTCCAGGAGTACAAGCCTGCGAGGTCTCTTAGATCCATGGGACAAGGCATGCTGTGTGTTCCACACGCGAGGACCACCACCTATGGAGTTTGATCCTTTACCAAAGCAGCCCCACGACTCTAGAATGATCTGCCATTACAACTGAGACTTGTCAATAACTTGGCCACTTTCAAAACCAATCTGTAAACCCACCTTTTCTGAAAGTCATACACCTAGACCAAGTGGACATTGTTGATACATGTGACATGCATCCCTTCAAAGCGCTTTAGAGTAGTTATACTGACTGGATTCTTGCGCTATATAAGTTCTTAGTTGATGATGATGTTTAATACAGTGAAATACTCTGCAGAAGAACTATCCTCAAATTCTTATAACTGACTGAGCTTAGTTTTACGCCACTTTTAGCAATATTCCAGCAATATCACGGCTGGGGACACCAGAAATGGGCTTCACACATTGTGCCCATGTGGGGAATCGAAACCGGGTCTTCGGCATGACGAACCAACGCTTTAACCACCAGGCTACCCAACTGGCCCTCAAATTCTTATAAATTGGGGCTGAATTTTTACAAATCCTGACCTACATGTATTCAAGAGACTGACTCTTTCACCATCAGGAACCACTACATCTGCTCCGTGCTGGCTTCTCGGATTATGGTTCCAAGAAAACAGGGCCTCACTATCAATATATCCTCAATTGGAAGACTGTCGCACCTCTTCAATGTGCCATAATGTATTGGCAAAGAAGCTGTGAGTCCAAAGGAAGCATGTGTGTCATGTTTGTGTCACTGTCGGCAGTGTCCACATCAGCTAGAAGTTTAAAAGTTTTAAAAATGGGATTCACACATTGTACATTCATGGGGAATCCACAATCTAATCCAATGCTTTAACCAGCCTAGCAAACTAGACATAATACAAAAAAAGCATCATTAACTCCAAAGTCTTTCTGATTAACATCACCAGAAGCTAGGGGTGAGTGAATATGATTTCATGGCACTTGGCAATATTCCAGCAATATCATGGTTGGGAACACAAGAAATGGCCCTCAAACCCAGGTCTTCGGCTAACGCTTTAACCACTAGTCTACCCCATGGCCCCAACACAAGCAAAGTAAAGTGTTGTCATTCAATTCATGAGATAACATGCACAACAGCATTCTGCTCGCATGCCAATGATTAGCAAAATTTCCATCAGGATCTACATAACCAACTGATTTTGCAAGACTGACTGACTGACTGAGTTTAGTTTTACGCCGCTTTTAGCAATATTCCAGCAACATCACGGCGGGGGACACTTGAAATAGGCTTCACACAATGTACCCATGTGGGGATTCGAACCCGATTTTGCCAGATCACAGTTACACCTCTTTATAATATCTTGGTCTTGATTTGTAGTTTGAGTTGTCTTTCTTGATACATATACAGAATCAGATTCCTGGCAAAATATACTGTCATATATTTCAGTCAGTGAAAGGACAAGGTATGATAAAGGCCCTTTTTGGCCCACAAAATTTCATGATATTCAAAGTTCTACAACATGATAATTTTAGCATAAAAAATGCTAAATAAATTGTTGAAATTACCTCCATATGTTTTTTTTTATATGTTTTAGTGCTGTTTTTTTCTTCTTTGAAGACCTCAAAGTTACCTATTTTACAATATCTTCGAAAAACCTGCATTTTCATATTTTCAGAGTGATAAAAAAGTGTGAGCAAAAGCTTGACCCATTCCAATTTTTTCACCACACATGAAGAGAGTAAATTAGAATGCACTCCTAAAATATTGTGGTGGGTCACGCTTTTGCTCATATCAAAATGTTTAAAAAAGTACATTTTTTCTGTTGTATGAAATTGCCCCATACAACATCAATGGCCAGTAAGTTTAAAGCAAGGAAGTTAACTATTACTATTTCACCCATGTTAATGCAGATTTCAGAGTGATGCTTCATGAGCGGTCTGTTCCTAAGTTGTACTCACTTTCCTTCCTTGTTATTGAATACATCAAACTTTGTCATGTCCCCAAACTTGACGAAGTACTGGAACAGGTCAGATGCTGTCGTATTCGGCATCAGGTTGAAGAGAAACAATGTCCTTGACCTATCAGCAGCATCAATCTACAGCAAATAAATGGATAGAAGTTGGATGAATACATGAATGGGTGGAAGGATTGTATGTTTGTTTGTTGTTTAACGCCGCACTCAGCAATATTCCAGCAATATGGCGGCAGTTTGTAAATAAATCAAGTCTGGACCAGACAATTCAGTGATCAACACAATGAGTATTGACACAACTGGGATTCGATAATATGTGTCAACCAAGTCAGCGAGCCTGACCACCCGATCCTGTTAGTCGCCTCTTACGACAAGTATGGGTTGCTAAAGACCAATTCTAACCTGGATCTTCATGGGTTATACTGGCAAGTGGACAAGTGTGGTATGTAACATATAAGAGAGTGAGTTCAGTTTTACGCTGCTTTTAACAATATTCCACTATATCATGGCGGGGGACACCAGAAATGGGCTTCACACATTATACCCATGTGGGGAATCGAACCCGGGTCTTCGGCGTGACGAGCGAACACTTTAACCACTAGGCTACCCCACCGCCCGTAACGCATAAGGAAACAAATGATATGGAAATAGTTGGAATCCAAATAGTATGAAAATGCTTAGTCACAGCGTGCTTCCTTTCTGGTCACTTTTAGCAATAATCATTTAATACATCGGCAGGTTCAACCACTCAGAAACAACCCCATCCCACTAAACATGAGAACTCACCATGCCACACCTCCAGTCAGCTTCCTGACCTTGACCCCTGACAGGTAAACCTCTGCAACAAACATCAAGATTAGGTGTTGCGGCGGTTCTGTCATTGTGTATACTACTACTACTAGATGACATTGCCTTAACAACAGGGGTGACTATTGAGGGGGAAACAACTATAGCAATCAGGGTTTTTCCCTTGAATTGTCTCATTTGTAGTCATTTCCCAAATGAATGTATACTTTATAAAAACACAAGTTTAATAACTGACAAGAAACTTGAAATAAAGATCAAGTAAACAATTAAAACTTATTGTTATTCGCAATTTCAAACTCTGAGTCACATACCATGTTTGTCGCTATGTTTGTTTAACAGGGTAACAGGGGCGGATAACTCTAAATCAAAGTGAACAAATTTGGTACTTCCTCAGTTCCTGTATTTTGTGCTGCACAAGTCGTTTCTACCATTGATTAATTGCTATCAGAAACTCAACAATTGCAATCCATTGATAGTTTGATGCATCGTTACAGCACTACTTAACAACGTTACATGTTTTGTAGTGGCTTGACATAACAGTAATATATATCACATACATGTATATCAATATTACAGTTTCTAAATACAACAGTAACTCCCACAATAAACAAATGTTTAATGTCCCCCACCGCTAAAGAAGAATGAAACATAACATATTTACTAGTTTTTATCTTTTGGTCACATAGAAATGTGCGATGTTTTTATTCCTGGTCACTTTTCAGAATCTTCTCCTAACTCTGAAGATATTTCAGGAATATAGTGGATTTGAATGTATAAATGTAGATACACGTATCCCCTGTCAGTATCAGTGAATGAGTGAGTGAGTGAGTTTAGTTTTACGCCGCACTCAGCAATATTACAGCTATATGGTGGACGTCTGTAAATAATCAAGCCTGGACCAGACAATCAACAGCATGAGCATCGATTTACACAATTGGGAACCGATGACATGTATCAACCAAGTCAGCGAGCCTGACCACCCGATCCCATTAGTCACCTTTTACGACAAGCATGGGTTACTGAAAATCAATTCTAACCTGCATCTTCACGGGTCAGAGTGTATTGGGACTGGGACAGGTCCAAATTTTCTCCCCGGGTACCCAAACCACTATTTACCCCACCCTACACTCATACTAATAATGTTGATTCCTGTCATCAAATTTATAAGAAATCCAAATACATTCTTCAGCTTAGAGGCTATAATTTTGAGTTTTTCAATATTTAACCACGTATTATATTCAAAACAGGTGACAGTAAATTATGTTTAAATCTTCAAAGACAATACAACCCTTTAATCATGAAAGAATAACATATTACAATGTTTAATCTATTAGTCACATGATCATAACGGGTTTGGGTATTGAGACGGGCACCCGGTTATAACCTCCAGTGATGTCACTCTATTGTCTCTCGAGTTTCTCCTTTTACTGAGTAAACCTCTGCAGGCAGTTTCACGGGCATTCTCAAGGAAATCCTGAAGATTTTCTACAAAATGCCCGGAGATCAGGTATTTTCTACAGAATGCCCGGGGATCTTCTGAAGAATAGCCATTGACTTTGAATTATTTTACCTGTACAAGCTTTGAAGACGTAACTTTGTCTCCCTATTACTGAATACGATCGTAAAATATCACATGATTGAAAACTTCCAATATATTGTACCAATGCCTAGTTTTGAAACTGCAACCCTTCGCTTACTAGCTTGGCGGTTTTATCCACTTGGCTACGTAGGATCACTGTTCTAATCACTGTTAGTGTCACTATTCACATGCACAATTGTTCCACTATGACTATTAGTGTGCATAAGTTTGAAAAGTGGTCAAAGGGTCCTGGTGACCTAGACGATATTGTCATGGTCACCAGAATTGACAGGTGTCTAAATAATCCACCAATGTAGGCTGTCACCAAATTTGAAGACACTAAGTAAAACAGTGCATGAGATATCGCATTAACCTTGAAAATAAGGTCAAGGTCACCTGAACTGACTGGTGTCTAAACAATCCACCAATGTAGGCTGTCACCAAACTTGAAGATATTGGGTAGAACAGTGCATGAGATATCGTGTTAACAAGAGTTTGAAAAGTGGTCAAAGTGTCATGGTGACCTTGAAAATAAGGTCAAGATCACGCAAATCGACTGGTGTCTGCATTATGTAGGCTGTCACCAAATTTGAAGACATACTTCAACAGTTCATGAGATATCGCGTTAACAAGAATCGGGATGTTCAGACACTGCTGAATTATAGTCCCCTGTTCTGCATTGCGGCGGGGGACAAAAGCACTGACAGACAACACCTACCCTGTTTCAGAACGTGACCACTTGGCATCGGGAACTCCAGTAAAATCTTCCCCTGAGTACTGTGCCGGCCGTTTATAAGTTTCACCACCACCTGGCATAACTCGGGACATTGGCACTGAGTCTGCCATGCTCATCTCGCTGTACCGTCCATCAGGTGGGTTTCCAGGTGCCCGTGCCCTTCTTTCATCACCACCACCTGGCATAACTCGGGACATTGGCGCTGAGTCTGCCATGCTCATCTCGCTGTACCGTCCATCAGGTGGGTTTCCAGGTGCCCGTGCCCTTCTTTCATCATAACCACCTGGCATGACTCGGGACATTGGCGCTGAGTCTGCCATGCTCATCTCGCTGTACCACCCATCAGGTGGGTTGCCAGGTGCCCGTGCCCTTCTTTCATTATAACCACCTGGCATGACTTGGGACATTGGTGCTGTAACGAAGGGACCGGTCTCACTCTGGCTATACTGAACATCAGTGTTTCCAGGTGCCCATGCCCTTCTTTCATCATAACCTCCTGGCCCCTGACCTTGGGGATAGCCATGATAGCCTGACATGACAGTGAACTGTCATATATCCTTGGGAGTCTGAAAAAGTCAGATGATTCAATACTTACGTCTTTTATACAAGGATTGTTGAGAGTGTATCAAGTATACCTAGTTGTAGGAAACGTTGTTACATTAAAGTTATTAACACAATTGATAACAAAACAGCTGAAACAGAAACAAAGACAGGAAACAACTTCAAAAATATATGTCTCCATGTAAAAGTGGCAATTGAAGGCTTAAACTTATGTTGCCAATGTTATCTTATCTATGCAGCTCCCAATAAACAATTCTTAAATGTTTTGGTAATATGAAAATTCAAGAATATGATCACAAACATATCTAGTATGTAGCAGATGACAACACAATGACCATGTGTTCATGAGATCAGTTACTTTAACAATCTGAGAAGAATGGCAGTTATACCAGGCCAGCCTCCAAACCCAACTGTATCTATTGTCAGAGATCCACAAATTCATTGGGTAACATGTTTAATATCAGGTGTAGTGTTTTCGAGATGGTGCCATAATAATTCTGAAACCCCATAATGGTCTGTCGGTTGAAAATTGAAATGGTCAGCTTTATGGTATGTAGCCCCCAGTTGTTGCTTTTATTGAGCTGAGTTAATTCTGCTTTAGTTTTCCAGTATTCCAGTTATATAACTGCACATTAGCTTATCATGGCGGCCGAACTGCTGAAGTGACCTGAAGGCGTTTTCCACTTTGGTTCAACCAACCAACATGACTACGGTGCTGACAAACTTACAGACATCATCAAGGCTAATTAGGACCAAATAAATGGACTAATGATTATTTCTTTCGGGACTGCTCAAGTGATGTAACTTGGCAAAGTGAACCGTGGTATTTGGGCTACCTCATATAGTACCTGTGCCCATAGTGGCATATGGAAACAGTTTAATAAAAGAAATATATTGGGCCAGAAACATAGTGGTATCCACATCTACCTCTGAATCATGCTGATTTCAACTATGACTGAGGTGTTTGTTGAGGAAGTATTGAACAGTTAGATTTAATAGATGAATAGAGCTGTATCATAGGGTAAATATTTTTGCTGACACCTAGCTATAACATGGAGTGTCAGAGCGCCAGATAAGATTTAGCTCATGTGGGTACTGTACCCACTGTATTTTTTTGGAGTGGGTATTATGAATGTTGAGTGGGTATTTCATTTTCCGTTACCCACTGCTTTCAAACATGCGTATTTCAGTCATTTTACTCACCTAAGTATTATGTGACTGAGTAAGTTTACTAAGCAGGTATGTTCTCCCTTATGTCATACCTAATCAAAACCAACTTAAATATAATGGAAATGAGTCCATAAAAAATCACTCATCCTAAATGGACAGTACAGCACTTGTCCTATACTAACAGTACAACTTGATAGCAATCGATGTCTTTTTCATTACGCAAGCGATTTTTATAAATATATTCCGGTCGCATTTGTTTTAAACTTTTTGCGTATCTAACATTTTAAATGAGTAATTGGTACGCAACAATTATTTTTCAATGCGTAATTGGAAATTATATATGCGTATTTTACCCGGATACGCCGCTTATCTGGGCCTCTGGTGTGTTACATTAAACAGACATTTTTAATGCTAAGATAATGACTTGTTTATAGATTAAGTTGTCTTTCATTAGTCAGGGGCATGTTTTATATTTCTTTATGTGATTAGAGAGAAAACAAGGGATGTGATTCAGCATCTGAAATCCAATAATACCAGGATACAGTATAGGCCATTCCACTGCTTACAATATTAAAAGGCTATTTATCAGGCTCAAAGAACTGTTTTGAGTTGGATCTTGCATGCAATCTAGTCAGTCTTTAATCACAATAATGATCAAAAGCTGGTTCCATCTTGGCTAGTGACAATGTATGAGGGGCGTTCAAAAAAGTAGACAGCCTCACCTAGAAAATTATACAAATGCAGCTGTTTTTATGTTTTATTTTTCTATATCAAACTCAAGCAAATTGGTTTTGCTATGTTCCAGCCTCACGATCCCCATTATGTTTGACTTTTTATCTTGGTACCATCAAAAAACGCAAAATCTGCAATAAATGAATCACAAATTTCAGGAAACAATATATGCAAGGACTGACTGACTGAGTTTGGTTTTACACCGCTTTCAGCAATATTCCAGCAACATCACGGCGGGGGACACCAGAAATGGGCTTCACACATTGTACCCATGTGGGGATTCGAACCCGGGTCTTCGGCGTGACGATATATGCAAGGAACATTTTGTGTGTTTGAGATAGGCAGAAGTCTGTTAAAATCAAACTTAGATATTAAAATGCATAAAAAAGCAATTTGAAACTACAATCACTTGTTAAAGTGACTCCCCCTTGGAGACACTACCAACTAGTGTTGGGAATTGGTTGAAATCTCACAATTCATGATTAGTTCATTACCAAGGAGCAGTCATCGAAAAAAATATGTTACTGTTAGCATCATTTTCTGATTTTCCTGTTCAGATTGTTATTGCAGATAAGTATAAAGAAACAGCACTTGTGGTTCTCTGTTGTTGTTGTTTTGTTTTATTTAGAAACGATGCAACTTGCTACGTTAAAGTGATGACTAATACATCACGAACATAAAATTCCCAGTCTTCAAGTAATATTCAGTCATGACTTTTCAGTAAGTGAAGTGAGTATTCTATGAATATAACACGTTTTCAGGCCCTGACGACTTCTAAGACATTGTTCCATTGTCAAGTGTTTCAAACACAAAAACAGTAGTTACAAAATCGTTTGTGTTCGATTATGAGAAAATGTGATCAATTGCTTGGTCCGTTTCCTCACTGTGACAAATCCTCAATTACTTCAATTAATTGGAACATCACTACTACCCACCCCCCTTTCGGATGACGTAATCATAAGGACATAACTTATTCTAATGTTTTCACTTATTCATGCATATTACATGATGCCAAGAGTTCAGACTAAATACTGAGGTGAGGTGAAATTGGGTTTAACGTCGTGCTTGAGAATATTTCGCTCATATGACGACGACTAAATACTGAACGGTCACACAAGTGTCAGCTCTCTATACCGCGCCATACCATGTTTTCGGGGTACGTCTTTTTCCCATAATTTCTCTCGCGTACAGAGAGATGACAGCGCCACCTGTAAACACTGTCTCCAGTGCAGAAGCTTCCGTAGCAACCGGGACACAAAATGTTTGAAATATCCAGCTTTCACGGAAGTTGTGACCTAAATGTCTGTCAAGTACTAAAATTCTACCCTAGAACGTAATGCACTTTCAGAACCTTCATAAATGTGATAACTTTTGAAGTAAAGCTTGTAACTTGTCAAGCGGACCATCGTCTGCTAGAGTGAAAAGTCAAGCATAAACATTACGTGACTCTAAGAGAATTTTGCGGACGTAATAAAAAAACTATGGAAGACTGAATTGGTCATCTCTTACATATTTTTTTTTCCGTGGTGCAGAATTCGTCTCGGCTTGTGACCACTGGGTTCATTTAAAATACTGCTGCGTTGTCACTGTACTGCGCAGACAAGACGTGTTTTATCATGTTTATTGTCCCTGCCATGGCGTGCCAAGAAGAAAGAATGTGCACATGATTGAATAACTTACCTGTAAATATGTTTATTTTTAACAATTTTCACAAAAAAACACTCAAATAATCAAGAAAAAATGACCAGTTTGCTTGACTTTTCATTAAAATGCCACGTTGTATTTGTTGACTTTTTGGGAGAAGGATGCATCACCTTGGCTTCCATACAAGATCATGACCCCACGCTATAACGAGTAACCGAAAAACAAGGTACGTCACTTCTGGCGCTTGCGCTGGCGGACAGACACAAAATGTTCACTGCATTGGAAACCAGCGGACAACAGAACATTCTGACAATAAATTTATGAAAGGTGAGATGATATTTAATTACGGAATTACAGTTTTGATAATCTACTGATACGCAATAATTTACATGATCATCTTTTGCGTTACTACCCCGAAAACATGTTACACCATGGTATATTGTATTTGTAAACAGTGTCAGCTTGTCCGTCTAAATATAAATCAAGCAATCCAAATCTTTGAATGTTGACTATGATGGGTAGTACTATACTGATATGTTATCTGAGGGCATACCAAGAGGTACCAAATGACTGATCGTTTTTCATTTTCTGCAATTTTTTATTTTAAGAAATATACCCCAATGTGTTGTGATGACTAATATCTGGTTTACCACATCACCACATATGTGGAAATTTTGATATGGCTATGCTAATGATTCCTTTTTTAACACCCCTCGTACTGCTGCCAGAGAGGGCGTTTAACGCCAAGAAACCAGCATCAAGAAATATTCATTTTCACTACCGGGGTGTTGATTTTACATAGGATCCCTGGGGGGGGAATTAATACCTTGATGCTAGTTCGTTCACTGTTCTGAGTGTTTCATTACAAGCCCCTGTGCTGTGGTTAAACAACTTTAACAAGCACGATAGAAATTGGTGATTTGCCCCTCTTTTAAAACAAAAGCAAGAAACACTGATTTTCGAAACATGAAACTGCTTGTGTTGCAAAGACAAAATATCATATGAACAGTGTGTCACAAAACTGTCAACATCAATTTGGCTTACCAAATCATAAACAAATCTCTATGAAATCCTTGGGTTTAAGAGCTACGTATCGACTTAGCAGCGCTCGTACCGAGGTGGTTGCAGACCGGAAGTACTATGTGCACGGCAAACACATTCGTCACCACTCGCCTCTTTCCGTAACCTCCACACGAGTTGGTCACGAATGTTTCTGGCCTGTGGCATAAGCTGGGCCCCGTCTCGCATATCGCTTTGTCGAAAGTTAGCGCGCGCAAAGGGAGCCGGGAACCAGCTTAGCTTACGGTTGTCTCGTTCATACATCAGAGATGATTATATTCGCTCACAGTTTTCTTACAAGCTTATAATAAAAATCTTTGTCGCATAGGGAATTAGTGTGTGAGTCCACTTTTAGATCATAGGGGTGCCACTAGTTCACCATTGTGTAATCAACAGTCAACAGACCATGACATGTTGTTTTAAGACTGTAGGCGAAATGAGAACATACCCCACTGGATACTACGGGGGCGGGGACATTTTATACGTCAGGTAAATATTTTTCACTACCGATGATCTGAACCAGGGAATAGAAGACGCTGTAGATTATCTCTGCCTGAACAAATATTTGGCCTCCAACAACTCATGCTTGTCGTAAGGGTTCGATCAGGTTCGCTTACTTGATTGACACGTCATGCGTAGATCACAATCACGCTGTCATGCTGCTTACAGTGGTACTATTGCTTTGTTGCGATATCGCCTAGATTTTTCAGGGCGATAAAGCAAGAGCCACCATTCATTCTAATGTATATTTTGCGCACAGTTTTTTTATTTTCACGAAACTAATTTCATTATCTACATTTTGCGTTTAATATTATATCATACGTGGATATACGTTATACATGGTTATCCTTCGAAAGATTTTGTATGTTTGAACAATATTCACATAAGAAATTGATATATTTAGCGTAGATGACCATATATTTAACCTAAATTACACAGGTGGTAGAAGATGAAATGTAGGCTTACCTGCAACATGTACTTTAGCTCCTATGAAGAGCAATATTCAATGTTGCAATTTCATATACTAGGCGTCATTAATAAAGGGTCAAATGATATATAGCACATGTACAGAAAAGTTTCTCAGAAATAATAGAACTAAGAGTGTCAGCTTAATGTTTAATGTGTTGACAAACGTGACGTCGACACGTGACATACAGACAAAAAGATCCAATAGCACTAGCAAACATCAGTTGTATAGATCAACCCCCCAAATTGAAAATGACAAACTTGTAGCACTCGGTCATTCAATATCTTGTGTACCTTGTTCTCATGCTCCTTATCAAGTTCATAAATAAACCTTGCGGAATTGCATTCCATTCCACTACTAGAGCTCTGCGGAGTCCTGGGAGATCCATCGGTGTTGGGTGACGTGTGTACACACGTCGACCGAGTTCATCCCATGCAGGGGCGGATACAGGATTTTCTTTTTTTCTTCTTTTGTGTGTGTCGGTGTGTGTGTGTGCGTGCGTGCGTGCACCCCAATCAGGGCATATATGTTATAGACTATACCTATTCAATTACACATGATCGGAGGCAGCGGTAAAATATATAGAATACCCTCGGTTCTGAGAATGGTGCACTTAACTTAAAGGTCACATGCAACCAAAAAATCAAACATAATTAAAACACAATTATCACTTATTCATGACATATAATATACATTGCTGGTTATGAAAAAACATATAAACAAAATTATAAGCGTACAATCGCAAATCAAAAGTGCAATATTGTGTACTTGGGTTTACTTCCCAAGAAACGAAGCAGCCGGGATACCGAACCCAGTCAGAGCGGGTGGGTGTGCACTCAAGTGTAACGGCTGGTTCATTTGCAGATGCCCTCACGGCTCATTGTGTGTGTATATATAGAGATGTTGGGTTTTGTAAATACATGCTCATTTTGTGTATAACATTTTACAATCAACAGACATCATAACATGTCATGTGTTCAAGTATCACACCTGCCTGTCTGTGTAATTACATAATGTGACAGAGACCGAACTCGGGCCATAAATCAATGCATTTTGTTTATGGTGTATAGCCTGATTGGTGTTAAGTTCAAATTGCATATGGTCAGTGATAGCAGCTGTGTATTGAATATTGCCATTAGCAGACAGGCAGGCAGACACACAGGTGTCAATAAAACAAGACATTGAGTTTTGTCTGTGACAACGACATACCTATATCACAGTTAGAAATTCTGTCAACGCTAAATAATGACATTGCTTTCAGGTATCGAACTGAGAAAGTGACTCGGTAAGAAGAACGTGTGGTAAATTAGACAAATGAAATTATATAAACAGTTACTTTACTGTCATAACATATAAAAAGCTCGCGCCTGTGAGATATCAACAAAACATAAGAAAAATAGCTCACACCAAAGCCTTCACCGAGTATTCACCGGACAACCCGCTTCCAAGCTGCGCGAACCTATTTCACTGCGCACGTGCTATGAGCGCAGCCCAGCTGTTGAAACCAGTTTTTCCCCGAAAAGTCGGGGGAAGATTAGTGAAACGTTTGAACTCCGATTTCGCGCGGTTTTTTTCATCGCGTTATTTTTCAACTTTATAAGTTGAATTTGCATTTTTGACGATTTGTTTCGGTAAGTCCATACCGAAAGGTATCAGAATCTGCAAAGTTGTGTTTTACGTTGCATGTGACCTTTAAGTGTCTTACATCTCGTTTAATGGTCACTTTGGACTGAGGAATGTTTGTACAGAAGCGTTCAAGCTGTCAGCGGGTACCATGTGGACCATGCGTGATATTGTTACATATGTCTACTCAGAAAGGAAGTGATTAATCTTAAATACTTCAGTTTGATTTTCAAAGTTGCAGTATACAAAACACGTTTGGTTATAACTGGATTTAAAGTTAGAAATGACCTTAGATTATGTGTTCAAATCTAAACGTTAAGGTTACTTGTTGAGCTTAGGCCATATATGATCCTAGGGTTTTCAACTAAAGCATGAATGAACCGTATTCAGTGAATGTGACTTGTCTACATAACCCACGGACAATCTTTGAATCTACTGATATAGGATGCACCCCTGTTGTCATTAGGCCCTGGGTTATCATTAGAGCGTCATTAAACTTCCTGGAAAAGTGAACATTGCGCCAGAATTTCGTTTGCGCCGCACTGGATCTACCTACAGCTATAAAATTACACAGAAATATAGAGTATTAAATGTCCTATCTCATGGTATAAACTCAGTTTGAAAAGTAGACACTGCTGAATGTTACTCCTAAGTTTGTTATGCGTTAAAAACAGTAAATCTATCTGCTTTTTATCGTGCACTGATAATAGTACTGTGCTACTATATTTTCAATTTGGCATCTTTACGGAAAGTGTGAGCGATCAAAATTCTGCCTGATACCTGAATGACATAGGTATGTATACACTCAATCTTAAAAGTGACTCGCAATATGTGTTGAAAATGGATTTTCCCCTATGACGTCAAATGGCTACATAAAGGTCACACGCTTATAAAGATAAGGGGGCCTCACTCCGGTATGCTTCATACTAAGTCATTGTAACTCAGATCACTTGGCGAGAATTTGCTGTGAATAAGGACACAATATTTTCGTGATGTTTTGTTCACGGAACTATCGAAAACAATGATACTCAAAACATTTTTGACAAACGCGCACCTGGTCAATGATTATACGCCATTGTTTTGTCTATAACACAACATAAACAAATTCAATGAACAAGACATATCCTTTAAAAACGTGTGCATATATACATTTCATGAAATAAATAAATCATTTTTATTTATTATGTCAGTTTTACTTAGGTTTAAAATATACTAAATGTTGATAATGAAATTAGTTTCATGAAACCATATGTGAACGATACGCAAAGTATACATTAATAATACATGTGTAATCCGCAGGACAGTGTGATTGTGTTTACTCTTATTCAACCGACCTTCACCTCAAAGAAATTGCCACATACATGTTAAAGTTCACAAAAGGTCCGCCATGTAAATTTCGCTAACTGTGATGAGATGAAAATATTGTTTGATTTCAAAATAATGCCTGAGGCCACTTACCTGATATTTTCAGTATTTAGTAATACAGCCATTTACTGCAAGTACAGCCCTCATTCGCTTAGGTAGAGTAGAATACATTGATTTTATGTACTCTGGAGTAAGCAATGTCCAGATACCTTGAACGTGATCTATCAGATCCTGTTTGGGTTTTATTTCATGTAACTGTCTTTGTAGCCTGATTTTCAGAGCTCTCCATACATTTTCAATGATGTTACAGTCTGGGGACTGAGAAAGCCAATTCATTGTCTGAATGTCATTGTCACGTTTCCACTGAATTGTCTGTCTAGAAACAATGACAGGACAATTGCCCTCTTGAAATATATAGCCCCGACATATGCTGGAACTTTGGCTATTACTGGCCAAAGGTTGCTGTCCAGTATATCTATATACTTTGTAGAGTTGATATGACCATCTACATCGACAAGGGTTCCAACACCTTCAAAACAAATACACCCCCAGAACATCACACTGAAACGTGGGGCATTTTTATCCATATACACACCAAGGCACCGGGGTTTCCACTTTTCTTCATTAGTCCTCCAAACATAAACTTTCTGATCTTTTCCTACAACAACTTGAGTTTCATCTGAAAATATTAGACCTAGACCAATCTCTATTTAAATTCCGTCTCAAATGTGTTCTGGCAAAGGCTCTTCTCTTCAACCCCTTTGACTCATTTGAGAGGATATGGTGGTTTTCTTCTTCACAACTCTTTTATGAAAACCATTTTCATGAAGACGCCTTTGTATTGTCCTCCTGGATAGTCTTACTTGAGATGTCTGGTTCCAAAGTGAAGATATATCCTGAAGAGACTTCCTCCTATTACACTTAACAATCTTCAATAAAGCCCTAGTATCTCTGTCAGTTTATTTTCTTCTCCTGCCACTTATCTGATAATTTTCTGTATTTCCTCCTTGAGAACACCTTTTCAGAAATTTCCAGACAGTAAACCTATTAATTCCAGTTATTTTACCTATTTCACTTCCACCCTTGCCTTCTGAATTCAAACTTTATATGAGCTTT